GATAAAAGGTTACTTATCAACCGATCTCTTTTAATATCTTTTACACCACAACACCAACTCTTATTACACTTCTAGTCAAACACAGGTTTCCAACTCAGCATAGAAGGAAAAGAACTTGCTATTGAGAGTGAGAGAGCATGTGCATATGACTGTGGCCTTTTATAACTTCTAAAAGCACATGCATCGGACCAGCCCACTATTAAAACTGGCCCAGTCCATTATAGACACTTAAGGGAGACTGGGCAATTTTACTACATAACAAAGACAGTGTCCTTGAAACAGCTCTGTCAATTATTGGACAAATATTACGTAATTAATTATGATGATTAGTTACTAAGCCGAATGGTGCAATAGTAATTTTCCAACACAGGTGATAAAAATGATATTCTGGGTTCACCTAAAATCATCTCTGTTTTGGTTTTATAAATAATTTGATGTGTCAAGCACTCAATCATTTTAATTTGACTACGTGGGATATTACTTCTCTACAGGGTGTGAATGGTCGCAAAGACCATAGTATTATACATTCGCAAGCTAGAAAACGTTATTAAATTTATTTCATGAATACCCATTTACTTATGTCAAAGAGAAATACTATCTTTTAATGTGGTAAGCTAATAGAAGTACTGGTGACCTATAAGTCTATTCTGTGACTTTGTGAAGCATGTCACATATACTATTGCTGAATTAAACATGCATTATACAAGAGCTACATCGGTCTATTGCAGGTCTTTCTTTTGGCTTGAAATGTTACCTAAATTATTAATTGGATACAGTATGAAATTTAACAAAGTAATCTTATTCAAAGATTATTTCAAAGACACAGTTTTATTTCTTGTTGATCTTATATAGAATTTTTAATGGATATAAAGTTATGCTATTCAGAGGGGGTATTGCCCGGGAAGAATTAAGTACGATCAAATTATTCTAGAAGACCTACTTGTAATAATAGATGTTTTGTCATATTCAGATAGGTAAACACGGGAGTGTGTAAAATAATTAAAAATAATAAATTCATGGATATGATAATAATATCGCATGGCTCATTGACTACAAGACAAGAGAGAGAGAGAGAGAGAGAGAGAGAGAGAGAGAGAGAGAGAGATGAAGAGAGAGGGGGGGGGGGGGGCAACGTCCACTCGACACACATTAGGTCATTTCGGGACTTACACATGGTTCAATGTTATTTAATTAATTCGCTTGATGCAACGGACACGCGTTAACCATACCCCCCCCCCCCCCCAAAAAAAAAAAAAAAAAAAAAAAAAAAAAACATCAGTGACTACGATGTTGGCTCGCTAACATTGAGATCTCGTGTTCGATTCCGGTGTTAGCCGAGAAATTTAATCGTGATTTTCTGGCGTACCATCTGCGGAAACTCGATAAGGTCTGCCAAAACACAGAAACTGATAAACTAGATTGTGCAAGATCCTATGGTCCATAACTATATAATTATTCATACATGTTGTTCCTAATTTTAAGTATGTGTATATTATACTGTATTTTGATGTTTTATATTTAGTATTTCATTATATAGGTTGCAGTCTCTTCAGTGATCCCTGGCGTGGACATTTGCCCAAAGTTAAAACTTTCTGAGAGCACGTCTTTTTATTTCTCAGAGCACGTGTTTTTTTCATCAGAAACCCGCGGAAAGACTAGACACTGTTCCTTGTCAACCATTTAAAACAATTATAAACCTGTAACGGTAAATCTATTTGATATTTGGGGTATATTCTATGCCCGGAATAACTTGAGGTCCGAAAGTCGGGGGCGGCTTTGGATATATACAGGGAAATTTGGGGTTATTCTTCTGAAGGTTATTCTTCCAGGATAGGGTTCTTTCCATAAGAAAACATGATCTAAGGTTTTTCTTATGGGAATTCTGGGATATTCTCATCTTGCGTACCTGTAAACATAGACGGTTTATAAGCAAGATAAAGTCCTCGACTTCAGTTATGCTGGGGTTATGCTGGGGAAGTGAGACTTCAGAAAAAAAACCTCGAGAGAAAAACCTCGGTCTGCCGGCCTCGATTTTTCTTTTTCTCAGGTTATTTTCTTCCGCCCTTTTTTCCCCAGCATAACCTCAGTCTCGTGCTTTATCCTACACTGCAGGTATTCCAATCTACTGCAATAGTGACGATCATTATAATGAACGTGGCGCTGTACACAGTATTGGTCATCCTGAAAGAACGTCCGGGATTAGTCAATCACATCACAAAATGAAATAATGTAACAGTGTAAATCTTCGATAATAACTAAAGACTGGAACTATCCTTGAGACTATTTATTACCGGAAAACATTAAACATCATATACGGAGAACAGCACGTCCGACAAGCAGAGTAACTGTCCTGGAAACGGAATGAAACCTAGAATGTTTTGTCAATGTACAAATCGGTATTTATAATAAAATGGTATCTTAGGAATTAACAATATACACCAAGGTTACTAATAACAATTAAAGAGGAGAGATTAAACTATACAAGACATTACAATAACATAAACAATAAGATAGTAATTAAACTCATTAATGTGTCAGCTGTCGACGATCAGTCATTAGATAAGTAGCTTAACGTCTAATTACCAACGCAGGATTAATAGAAACATAAGAAAAATAGAAATGTTTAAATGAACGAATGATATATTGAAAGAAGGAAATACCAACAATTCACAACATTATCACCATTATAATTTCCTCTGCGGTGAAAATGATTCGTCCTCGGATCATAATAACAAAAAAAAAATAAACATTGATAATACCGCTAAAAGGTCAGGTTTGTTTTAAATGTATGAAGCCTTTTCACTTTAATTTACATTTAGTATATAAACAAGATAAAGATATAATGGGGGGGGGGGGGGGTTAAACAATAATAATTTGGGTTACTCGCTTATAAACTCTGTGAATAGGCAATAACTGTCCATCATTATGGATATAATCTGAATGGCTTATGACGTCATATATATTTGAGTCCGCGATAATAATAAATAATTAAAATGTCGACAATAATAAGATACTATACTATGAATTAACTAAAATTTGAAATTAAACGATTAAATGAAACATAATATTCCAAAGAAGCTTTTATGCTAAAGTGTTTATGAATTAATCTACGGCATCGATAATATCGATTTAATTGCTTATGCAGAATAAATAAATTATAGCAACATTCGAACGGGAATGTAATAATAAATCTTATCCAAAACATTATAAAATAAAGGCAAATAATTAGAGATCAGTGAATACATAAAAAGTCAGTGGTTTAAAACAGTTCATACAAATTCACATTTTTTTAATAACACAACATAAAACAATATTCAATCACTTTAATGAATAATTCCCTGGGGGTAATGCGTGTTTGATACTCCGAAAGAATACTGGATCTTCTTTAGCAATAATGTCCCAGTCCTCTAGGTCAAATCGACTGTAAACATCTTCCTCATTCGGACCTGGACCCTGCCTTTCCACATTTAACTGTAATTTTCCAGATTTTTGATTGATTTCCATTCGGGTAAATCCTGCTAATTTCAAACTTGATTTATCTGGATATGTCCACCTGCCTCTCGGGAAGACCTTAAGCTCTTCCTGATTCCGTTTATGTTGATTTATCAACGTTTCTACAAACCACTGCTCTGGGCCAGCAATTTTATTCGGATAGTTAGCTATAAAGGAAACAGCTTTCTGGTCCAACTTGTCTTCCTTCACCCACAAATTTTTGGTTGCAGGTTGATTCTTCCATCAGATTAAGTATTCAAGCTGTCCCTTCTTAACACGCCTTTTTAACACCTTTTCTGTTTCTTGGATCTGTGGCGTTGAAGCTACCATGACATCCGGTTTGACCAAATCTGTATTGGTTTTTATGTCAAGGGTTTGGACACTCTTTGTATATGTGTCCGGAATAGCCATTATACATTTATCCGAATGTCCAAGACAATCTGTTTGACATTCACTAGATTTGGTTGACGATATCTTGCTGGTCTGAATTGCGATGTCGGCCTTTGTAGAAATCGAATTTATTGATGATACGCTCGATCTTTTCGCAGAAATCATCTCCTTAAAACGCTGGCCTCTTAGAAAATCTCTGTTCTGTTTGCTAGTAGATTTTCTATTCGATATATCTGAATCACGATGAAAACTGCACCACGTTAAAACTATGGAAGTGTTACTACCTTTATGGTCTATCCTCCATTGGTTGGCCTTCGAGTTGATCTTCATTACTTTCATTATTTCCGCCAATTCATCTGGTATCACTATCTGCTCCATATCTGATTTTTCTTTGGGATACTCGCTTGAAAGAGGTTCAGAGATCTTGCCTCACAAAGCACTCCACCAATCTGTAACAGTGTAAATCTTCGATAATAACTAAACACTGGAACTATCCTTGAGACTATTTATTACCGGAAAACATTAAACATCATATACGGAGAACAGCACGTCCGACAAGCAGAGTAACTGTCCTGGAAACGGAATGAAACCTAGAATGTTTTGTCAATGTACAAATCGGTATTTATAATAAAATGGTATCTTAGGAATTAACAATATACACCAAGGTTACTAATAACAATTAAAGAGGAGAGATTAAACTATACAAGACATTACAATAACATAGACAATAAGATAGTAATTAAACTCATTAATGTGTCAGCTGTCGACGATCAGTCATTAGATAAGTAGCTTAACGTCTAATTACCTCGCAGGATTAATAGAAACATAAGAAAAATAGAAATGTTTAAATGAACGAATGATATATTGAAAGAAGGAAATACCAACAATTCACAACATTATCACCTTTATAATAATACAGAGAGAGTGAGAAACAAACTCGACACAAATCAGGTCATTTCGGGACTAACTTATGGTTTAATTTTATTTCAATAATTCACTTGAGCGTAGAGGTCTTTAGCAGTGGGAGGAACCCGGAGGAATAATACATAGAACTGTGGGGGTGGCTTATCACCAATATTTAAGGCGGGTTTATGTTCAAAGCTTCCAGAGATCGCATAATGGGTACACAACGACAAGTATATTTTGGTGATGTTACCGAAGCGTGTCAACGTATTTCTGGCTTTATTCATAGGACACCGATTTTTACAAACAGCACTATCGATGGATTAACCGGAAGAAACATATATTTTAAAGCTGAAAATCTCCAGAAAACTGGTTCTTTCAAAGTTAGAGGAGCCATAAATTCCGTAAGTATTCTCATTTTTTTTAGCTACCGTTGTTTAGTAACAAGCTTCACGTAAAGTGTAAACAAAGAATTGTTGAAAATCCTTAGAAAATTTTTTTTTTTCCAAAATCAATTAAGAGAAATTTTTAAAATGTATAGGCAGTGGTGTCCGAAAGAAATCGTCACGTAAAATGTGAAAAGAGCGAGGATTGTTTCAAATCCCTTTAAAAGTAGAAAATCTCCAGAAAAATGGTTCTTTCAAAGCCAGAGAAGCCATATTTTTAAAAATGTATAGGCACCGATGTCCGGTAGAAATCGTCACGCAAAAAGTATAAAAAGAAAGATTGTTTCAAATTCCTTTTAAATCAGAAAACTGGTTCTTTCAAAGCCAGGGATGACATATTTTTAAAATGTATAGGCACCGATGATCGGTAGAAATCGTACCGCAAAATTAAAAAAAAAGTATTGTTTCAAACTCATTGGTGAAAATCGAGTTAGAGGTTTTATTGAGTTTCTCTTTCATCCAGGTTATGAATTGTATGTATATATTCCTACAAAAAAAATATGATTTTTGATTTCTATGTAAACAGTTATCCTAAATTCAGATTTTTTCACAGTTATCCTAAATTCAGGCGCTTTTCCTAAATTAAGATGTTTTTCACAGTTATCCTAAATTCAGATGTTTTCGCGGTTATCCTAAATTCAGATGCTTATCCTAAATTCAGATGTTTTTCACAGTTATCGTAAATTCAGGTGTTTTTCACGAAGTTATCATAAATTCAGATGTTTTCGCTGTTATCCCAAATTCAGTCTGTTTTTACAGTTAGGGGGGTTGGATGGCTGAATGGTTAGCGTGCGTGCGCTGTATCATAAAGTCTGTCATTGAGTCGACTGGCGTGGTTTCGAATCCCCGGTTGTACGTGACAAGGAGTAGGGTCGCCTGTCCAACCTCGTGGGTTTTCTCCGGGTCCTCCCAGTGCTGAAGACCCCTACGCGCAAGCGAATTATTGAAATAAAATTAAAAACCATGTTGTTAGTCCCGAAATATCCTAGTTTGTGTCGAGTGGACGTTAATTCCCAACCAACTCTCTCTCTCTCTCTCTCTCTCTCTTGTAGCTGTAAACAATATCCAATCCTATAAATTCTACCAAATGACAAGTTGGTGTGATTTGATCCTCATCATATTCTCTTTAATAAATGGATACCTGAATACACATATACATATTTATACCTCCCATGGCCCTTCTCTACTTTATGTTACTGATCCCGCGATAAAGAACTTATTATTGTATCATTGGTTAAAATTAACTGTTTACGCTATGTGATCACGGACAAGACATATAGTTAACTTTAAGGTCGATGACAGAACAAGTAGGTCTTCAGGTGACCTTGATATTTAGATCTGGCCATAGCAATTGGCAAACCTCGGAGGATTCCGGTACCGTAGGGTACTGGAAACTGCTGAGGTTTGCCGAGTGCTGACCATAGATCTTGGACCTAAAATTAGCTCGTATCCGAAGAAAAATATTAAAGATACATTATATGGGAGATTCGATAACGAGTTGGAAGTTCTCACTATAATAGTTAAAAACTAGATAATGTAATGGCAATTTGCTGAAAATTTCATTCAAATTGATCCACTATGAATCGAGAACAGAGCGATTGAATTTCCGCCTAGCCTTGATCATCATTACTAAAGTCAGTATGATAAACAGCATAGTCTCGATTATCCATTTAATCGTTAAATTGTGAAGGAAAGTTATGCAGTAAATCGGCTCACTCTAAATGCCATCTAGAGTCGATTATGGTCTGGATAGGTTAATTAATGTCTAATTAATAATTTAGATAACATTTCAGGCCTAAAGAAAGACCGGCGCTATTGCACTTTCGTACCTCTACCAGTTCCCGTGGTCATAGGCACTTGAAATTTTCAGAGGATGTTAAGGGGGGCTAGCAATGACCACACACCAAATTTCAGCCAAATCGATAAATAACTTTTTATTTTACCGACCTTTTAATTTCTAACGAGAGAGAACTTCATCCGTTTGACGCCATTTGCTTTGTTTACTAATTAGACTTGAATAACAAGACACTAAGACGGAAACCGACTCGAATAACAAGACACTTAGACGGAAACCGACACACTGCACTAGCTGCCTAACACTGCAGTTCATAAAAATTAATATAATTTTCGTATACTTTAATTTTTGCGCGAAGCCACCATTTTCTATAAAATACTATTTGGTGTTGATCAGTGGATTGGCCTTTAGGTGTAAATATTGCCGTGACCTTGATTTTGACCTTGAGGCCAAACTTCCCATCCATATCGGGGCCTTTGCGTTTATGCTTGCCGTGGCCTTATTTCTTACTGTATTATCAAAGTTAATGTTCGAGGTGAAAGCAGAGATGACGTCCTTCAGAAAAGATAATTGGGTCAAAGTCGTAGGTCAAGGTCATGTTACAGAAAACTAAACTCAAATTTTTCAAAGTCATTTTTGGGACATTTGACCTTGACTTACGACCTTGACCCCGTAACCATTTTCGAAGGTTATCACATTGGCTTGAATCATGAACGTTTAACTTGGTCCTGTCGCACACTGCTCGGTCAGAAAACGGTCAAACGCAGAGGGTCCGTGTCCGAAAGGAAGTCAATGGGCGTGGTCAATGTGAAAGGTCGTGGTGACCTCCACTAGTCACCGTTAACCATCCGTAACCTTGACTCTGACCTTGAGTCCAAACGTCCCATCCATCTCGAGCCCTTTGCGTTTATGCTTGCCGTGGCCTTATTTCTAACTGTATTATCAAAGTTAATGTTCGAGGTGAAAGCAGAGACGACGTCCTTCAGAAAAGATACTTGGGTCAAAGTCGTAGGTCAAGGTCATCTTACAGAAAACTAAACTCGGACTTTTCAAAGTCAGTTTTGGGACATTTGACCTTGACTTACGACCTTGACCTCGTAACCATTTTCGAAGGCTATCACCTTGGCTTGAACCATCGACGTTTACTTTGGTCCTGTCGCACACTGTTCGGTCAGAAAAGGGTCAAACGCAAAGGGCCCGTGTCCGAAAGGAAGTCAATGGGCGTGGTCAATGTGAAAGGTCGTGGTGACCTCCACTAGTCACCTTTAATCATCCGTGACCTTGACTTTGACCTTGAGTCCAAACTTCCCATCCATCTCGGGCCCTTTTCGTTTATGCTTGCCGTGACCCTATTTCTTACTGTATTATCAAAGTTAATGCTTGAGGTGAAAGCAGAGACAACGTCCTTCAGAAGAGATAAATGGGTCAAAGTCGTAGGTCAAGGTCATGTTACAGAAAACTGAACTCAAACTTTTCAAAGTCAGTTTTGGGACATTTGACCTTGACTTACGACCTTGATCCCATTACCATTTTCAAAGCCCATAATCGTGGCTTGAACCATCGACGGTTACCTTGGCCCTGTCGCACACTGCTCGGTCAGAAAACGGTCAAACGCAGAGGGGCCCGTGTCCGAAAGGAAGTCAAAGGGCGTGGTCAATGTGAAAGTTCGTGGTGACCTCCACTAGTCACCTTTAACCATCCGTGACCTTGACTTCGACCTTGAGTCCAAACTTCCCATCAATCTCGGGCCCTTTTCGTTTATGCTTGCCGTGACCCTATTTCTTACTGTATTATCAAAGTTAATGCTTGAGGTGAAAGCAAAGACAACGTCCCTCAGAAAAGATAATTGGGTCAAAGTCGTAGGTCAAGGTCATGTTATAGAAAACTGAACTCAAACTTTTCAAGGTCAGTTTTGGGACATTTGACCTTGACTTACGACCTTGATCCCATTACCATTTTCAAAGCCCATCATCTTGGCTTGAACCATCGACGTTTACCCTGGCCCTGTCCCAAAAATGACTTTGAAAAGTTTGAGTTTAGTTTTCTGTAACATGACCTTGACCTACGACTTTGACCCAATTATCTTTTCTGAATGACGCCGTCTCTGCTTTCACCTCGAACATTAACTTTGATAATACAGTAAGAAATAAGGTCACGGCACGCATAAACGCAAAGGGCCCGAGATGGATGGGAAGTTCGGACACTAGGTCAGGGTCAAGGTCACGGATGGTTAACGGTGACTAGTGGAGGTCACCACGACCTTTCACATTGACCACGCCCATTGACTTCCTTTCGGACACGGACCCTCTGCGTTTGACCCTTTTCTGACCGAGCAGTGTGTGACAGAACCAAGGTAAACGTCCATGATTCAAGCCAAGATGATAGCCTTCGAAAACGGTTATGGGGTCAAGGTCGTAAGTCAAGGTCAAATGTTCAAAAAATGACTTTGAAAAGTTTGAGTTTAGTTTTCTGTATTATGACCTTGACCTACGACTTTGAACCAATTATCTTTTCTGAAGGACGTCGTCTCTGCTTTCACCTCGAACATTAACTTTGAAAATACAGTAAGAAATAAGGCCACGGCAATTATAAACGCAAAGGCCCTGATATGGATGGGAAGTTAAGACTCAAGGTCAAAATCAAGGTCACGACAATATTTACACCTAAAGGCCAATCCACTGATCAACACCAAATAGTATTTTATAGAACATGGTGGCTTCGCGCAAAAATTAAAGTATACGAAAATTATATTAATTTTTATGAACTGCAGAGATAGGCAGCTAGTGCAGTGTGTCGGTTTCCGTCTTAGTGTCTTGTTATTCGAGTCTAAATAGTAAACAAAGCAAATGGCGTCAAACAGATGAAGTTCTCTCTCGTTAGAAATTAAAAGGTCAGTACAATAAAAAGTTATTGATCGATTCGGCTGAAATTTGGTGTGTGGTCATTGCTAGTCCCCCTTAACATCCTCTAATAATTTCAAGTTCCTACGACCACGGGAACTGGTAGAGGTACGAAAGTGCAATAGCGCCGAAAAAACAAGCCAGTTGACAAAAAAATTAAAAAAACATTAAAAACAGGAATTAGAATTCAATATTGAGCCATTTCAATCAATATTAGTGTGGTTATCTTGCCGTGAAAATATGTGATCCATATACCCAATATTTAAGACACATTACTCATTTTAAAGGGACAATAACACCCTTGCTGGCTTGAAAGCTCCAGAAAATAAATAATATCTCTATCTAAGTACTAGATGTTTAAGTGTCCTACCTGTTGTGTAAATTATCCATTACATCCTATTTTACTTGTCCAGAGGGTTCGAAAATATTTTTAAATCGAAGTTTCATATGAAAAGGTTCACGTTAGACGTTTCAACCCATTATGTTGAATTTTTCAAATTTTTTAAATAAGGTGTGTTAAGATGAAATTTGTATCATCAATTAATTGGAATATTGTAAAATAGTACAATTTGTTGACCAGAATAAAGATTGGGACATATTATTCAGTTACAACAAGAGTGGTATTGAGCCTTTAAAATCAGTACACGAGTCGTGTGCTGTATAATTTCAGGCGCCATTTGTAATAAACAAAGAACACCATATGCTACAAAGCAATGTGGCAGTAATTAGTAATGGCTGATTCACAAATGACAAAATGATAATTAAACAAAAATGTGTAGAATGAGCTCTTTACGTATTTCACCGAACATAACTAATTAGAATATTTTTTTTTAAATTGCATTTAAATCACTTTATATACATTCATCTACATTAATATATGCTTTTATTTTAGACCCATATTCGTCTATTTTAAGGTCCCAAAGAATAGAGTCATACACCCTTTAATTCCCAGAGACGAATAAGTCCATAGATACACAAAGATTTCCAATAAAGGTTATCAGAGTTATTTCCCCTTTTCACTATGCATAGTGTTTATGTTAAGTTACGATCAGAAAGTGTTTAGGGATTTTTATCAAAAGTTTAAATGATAAAAAATATATTCTAATTATGACCAACATCAATCTGATTAAAATACAGATCTATATTTCGTTTCGTTTTTTTTTTATATATACTTTCGATGGCCTACACTACATGAAGATCTGACCAGTTATTTTGGGAGGTCGCTTTTGACCCTATAACGTCAGACATTTTATTAACCAATCAGCATTGATGTTTCTAGTGGATTACCCACAGTTCCGTGCACCTCACACCAAAAGGTCGCCGGAACAGACCGTTCAATTGGCTAATCCCTCACATCATCCAGAACTCGTCAATGATAAGTCTTCCCGATCCTATAGTGTAATGAAGACAAGTAAAATGAAATTTTGAACTATAAAAAAAACGAAACGAAATAGGATCTGTGTTTTAATCAGATTGGATCAACATTAACCAAAGCATTCAAAATACTAATTTATTATTATGTGGAGACATCCTAAACATTAATTATCTCCTTTTCATTTTTTTCTTCTTCAGGTTTTGAAATTAAAAGAGAAGGATAGAGCAGTAGTGGGCGTGGTAAAATATGTTTATTATACGTTAATCTTATTTGAGAGGTTATTCTAAACTATTAAAGAATTTTGTTTCATTCCTGAGGTGTGCGTGATTTAAAGTCATATGACCAAATTTTGATCCGGCTTCGTTTTTAGTGTAGTTTCTACTAATTTTATTTCTGATGAAATTTGTGAATGCATTGTAGGCAGTCAGCTAAAACAAGCACGTGATATACCGATTGTGTGCCTTAATTTCTTTATTATTGCATGTAATATTTTAAAAAATAAGATCATTTTCTAATAGGACTAATTAAACACACTCAGCACAATATCGTGACACAACTTTCATTTATCTATACAAATATTGTCGATTAAATTAAAGGAGGCAAGTCTCTAACTCAGTATCATGTCATGATGCTTTCGAGCGCCATTTGTAATAAAGCGACTCGATGAACGAGTGTCAATGCGTATGAGCACCGAATACTTGTAAGGAAACCTAGAAGGCTTCTTGAAGGAAGTGCCAGGCCCGTAGCTAGCGGGGGGGGGGGGGGGACAAGAGTGGTATGTTGGTCGTTGGCTTCCTATTGCGTCCAACGGACAGGGCCGACAAAGGCACCCATTGGGGGAACCGAATCTTTCCCCAGTGGACAAAGACACCATTGGGTGCCCCGATTGTTTCCAGGGGAGGTAGCTGTCCCTCTTCCCCCCCCCCCCACTGCTAGCTACGGGCCTGACCCCCTTTAAGCCCACGTTAAATACAGACATATCTATTATCTTTATTCATTGTAACGGGATTAAAGACTTCAGAAAAGCAACTGGAAAATTACCCGGAACCTAACTACGTCATTGTGGGGGGGGGGTGTGGATGGCTGAATGGTTAGCGTTCGCGCGCTGTATCATAAAGTCTGTCATTGAGTCGACTGGCGTGGTTTCGAATCCCCCGTTGTACGTGACAAGGAGTAGGGTCGCCTGTCCAACCTCGTGGGTTTTCTCCGGGTACTCCGGTTTCCTCCCACTGCTAAAGACCCCTATTCACAAGCGAATTATTGAAATAAAATTAAACCATATGTTAGTCCCGAAATGACCTAGTTTGTGTCGAGTGGAGGTTAAACCTCATTTCTCTCTCTCTCTCTCTCTCTCACGTCATTGTGATGTAGCCGATCTTGTAACTGTTTAAACTGGCACGACACGGCATGGCTGGTGACATTTGACCCCGAGGTTATATTTTACCCAGTAGCGTTCAACTTCGAAAATCCAGATTAAAATCATCTCTCCAGCAGTGACGGGTATTGTGTACGATGCAGTGCATGCTTACACCTCACAGCAATTATCATTTGTATAGCTTTAGCTTACATGACTAAGAAACATCTGTAGTAATTTTGGGCCATTTCCATTCGAGGATGTGACAGTTCATTGATGTATATATGTTGATTCGAGTATGTGACAGTTCATTGATATATATATATGTCCATTCGAGTATGTGACAGTTCATTGAGGTATATATGTTCATTCAAGTATGTGACAGTTCATTGATGTATATATGTCCATTCGAGTATGTGACAGTTCATTGATGTACATGTGTCCATTAGAGCTTGTGACAATTTATTGGATGTATTTCGATTCCAGTTTGGGTCAGTTCAGTTCATGTATTTCCATTTGCGTTTGGAACAGTTCACTGGGCATATTTCCATTCTAGTTTGGGAAATTTCAGTTCATGTATTTCTATTCGAGTTTGGGACAGTTCATGGGATGTATTTCCATTCGAGTTTGGGATAGTTCATTGGATGTATTTCTACTAATTTTAATTTTTATATGCCCATTTGTTATCATTTTTTAAAAATTAAATAACTGATTATATTTTGTAATCCAGACTACCCACAGTAGTGGTAATCATGGGCAGGCTCTAGCCTGCGCGGCCAGATCTGTAAGGTTTCCGTGTAGCATAGTTGTACCCAGTTACACATCGGCTGTGAAGAAAGCTGCTATAAAGGGATATGGTGCTGAACTAACGGAGTGTGGACCATTAGCCTCAGACAGGTAAAGAAAGAATGGATGAAATGGGGTTTTACGTCCTACGTTTCTGCTCCAAGGGCGGATCCAGAGACCATGGATGGGTGCGGGCGGGCGCATGGGTGGCGAAACCGTACCTAGCGAGTGCCAAAGGCTCGACTCGCACGACGGGGGGATGAGGGAGGGGGCTTCTGGGTGCCAGATTCAACAAGAACTACTGGTTTAAATCGAAGCTGTCATTGTACATTACGATCCGTGATTCGTACATAATTGAGTCGGTCCCAGTGCGTCCCCTTGATCCAGATTAGGGGGGAGGGGGCGTGCGCCAGGTGCGACCGCTTTAGATCAGCCTTTGCAACTGGGCTAATGAAGACGGGCATAAAGAAAAGGTTGGGTGATATGGTTATGTTTTAACAATATTAACTCACCAACAAAACCACGGAAGAAGGGTGTTGTTGGGATAGTTGCATTTTCGCCCACTCTTAGTCTATGTGCATGCGTATGTCGGGAGCTTGAGTGGCTCGGTGAGTAAGACGCTGGCTCGCTAACAAGGAGGTTCTGTGTTAGATCCCGGTGTTGGCTGAGTCAGTAGTGCAGGACGGAGGACCTTGCAAAAAAAAAACAGCGCCTCGTCGTTGGGATGGGACAAACAACTGTATATACCTTTGCGTGCACGTAAAAGAAACCTTGACCATAAGAAATCATTTTCCCAAGCAACATTTCCCTCAAAGCACAATGCAAGGCGTATGTCCGTCCTCATAAGGCCGAGCGTTAAACTCCATTTAGTGCATTCATCCATTCATGATTTACTATACCGTTTATTAAAGATACATTATGTAAGATTTAGGTAAAGAACTAACCATTCCTGCTATAATAGTTCGAAAGTAGATGATGTAAAATAAATAATTTGAAAATTTCATTCAAATTACTCTATTGCAAGCGAAGATATTAGCCTTTGAAGGTTTGACAGACGTGTGCAATAATTTCAACCACCGTACTGGTTGATCGAAGCTAAGTCTCGGTCCTCCATATTTGATTAAATCAAAGTATCGCTGAACCATTCTAATCTATTTGATATCGGAGAAAACTGATGCCATCGAGAGTTGATTAAGGCCCGGATCAGTTAATTAATGTCTAATTAATACTTTAGAAAACATTTCAGACCTAACGAAAGACCTGCAATAGGCAGATTTAGCTCTTGCATAATGCATGTTTAAAGATGCAATACGGAAGAGCTAAATCTACCTGGGTCATAAATGTTATATAAATTATTAATTAGACATTTTTTTTAACTTGCCTTGGGATGCACGAGGTTTTCAACGGAATTAAACACGATTGGTGGTTAATAATTTAATTAACAAACGATAATCCAGACTTTGTTTACTATAGTAACAATGGTAGCAGTCACAATCGAGACTCCACTATTCTCCAAACAGCCCCAACGTCGCTCAGAATTAAGTAATTTGAATGAAATTTTCAAGATATTCCCTTTTCATTATCTAGTTTTTAACTATTATAGCGGGAACTGTCAGATCTCTATTTAAATCTTACAAAATGCATCTGTAATTTGGATGTATATTGGACGTCTTCTAATGTTATTGTTGGGTTGTGTTTTTTAGAAGAGAAACTTGTGAGAAAGTTGCACTGGAGAAAAATTATGAAATAATTCCATCATCCGATCATTATGATGTTATAGCTGGACAGGTGAGTACTGTCTGTTTTCCATGACCACTTGACCCCTCGCTCGTCGTATTACCAGAAATTATGGTGTTATAGCTGGACAGGTGAGTACAGTCTGTTTTCTATGACCCCTTGACCTCTGGCTCGTCGTATAATAATTACCAGAAGATGTCGACGTGGTTGTGTTTAACAAGGCATTCAATAAAATATTTTTTTGTGTAACATTGGGTTCCATTCTTTCAAAATTTGTCGTTTGAAACGAAATTTAAGATTAATGTTTCCAAAACCCCAATGATCTCTCGCTCGTCGGATTAACAGATTAACATTCTCGACTTATATTTCCCAAAATATGTCCCAATGAAATTTAAAATAGAGGGAGGGAGAGAGGTGGGGTTTAACGTCCAATGGACACAAACTATTTCATTTCGGGACTAACACATGGTTCAATCTTATTTCAATAATTCGCTTGCGCGTAGGAGTCTTTAGCAGTGGAAGGAAACCGGAGGACCCGGTGAAAACCCACGAGGTTGGTCAGGCGTTCCTACACCTTGTCACGTAAAAGCGGGGAATCGAAACCACGTCACTTGACTCAATGGCGTACCTTATGATGCAGCACTAACCGAATGATTTTTGGGGCAAATAGATCAATAGGGCGTAAATCATAACCATATTATTAATCTTATTGCCGATGTATTTCATTTCGAAGCTCAATATCATCCCAATCTTTTTTCAGGGAACAATAGCCATGGAATTTCTAGAACAGGTGCCAGATTTAGATGCCATTTTGGTTTCTGTAAGTGGTGGAGGAATGATATCAGGAATAGCTATAGCTGCTAAACATATAAAACCTGGAATTAAAGGTAAATAATAACTCTTGTAACATGGACGAGGAATCATCCTTCGTTCTTTTCGTTGAATAAGCAGATTGTTTCCCCTAGTAGATTGGGTGGAGCTTAACCGTGCAATAACTAGACATGTTCAATGTTATTGCACTCTTTTGCTGGTTTACATTAGTTTTAGTAAAAATCATATAGAGAAGTGGGGTGGGTTTTCTGTGCAATAACAACAAGCATGTTGAGCAGGTTTCAATGTTTCAAGTCATTTATAGCACGCTTCATTCGTTAACAGGTTTAAACATCGAGGCTGTTTAAACCTGTTAACTCATGAAAGCCGTGCTATAAATATAAATTACACCACACCTCCAGGCTTTATCTCCAATAGCAACTACTGATGCAGTGATTAACATTAGATTAGAGATCTATAAAAGGTTATAGCTGCTAAACATTCAGTATTTCAAAATCACCCGACTTTGTTAATCTCAATGGCGGCTTGGGGAACAACACTGAAGACACGTATCAACTAATGAAGAAAAAGCACGAAGACATCCCTGCTGATGCAACAACCACGATTAGAACTTCACCCCTAAAAGTTCTCATTTGATAGTTTTTACAAAATCGCTAAACGAAACGATCAACGGAAGTCATAATTATGGAAGATGGTTAACGATCGAGAATGAAATCCAAATCCAAATCCAAATTTGAAAGTCTCACTTGAGCAAAAATTTGGAATATCACATCAATAGAATGGAATGTTAAACATATCGAAACCGAAAATATTTTTCATTTAATTATTTCAGTTTTTGCTGTTGAACCAGAGGGTAAGATATTGGAGAAATGTCTGACGTCTGGGGAAAGACTGTGGCCAAATCCACCTCAATATCTCGACACCATAGCTGAAGGTATTAAACTACAACAAGTCGGCCATCTTACGTGGCCTATTTTATTGGAACTTGTGGAGAAGGAAGTATTTACAGTGGTGAGTTGAAACTTTTAGAGTTTCGATTTTTATCTACAAGCCGGTGATTAGATTAATCGTGTAACACAGAGAACCTGAAATGAAATGGAGTTTAACGTCCTACTTTTCTGCACCGACTGGGCTAATGAAGACGGGCATACGCCATACAGTGTGCTATGAAGGACATTTTACCTGGACAGCAGTTCTACGGCCTATTCTTATTTCGAATATCATCTTCCAAGGGTGCATGCTATTGTGTACATGGGACCTTAGTTTGTCGCCCCATTCGAAAAACTAGACACTGTCCTGCTCAGTATATGGATCTTTTAAGCAATCAAATGTGACCGACACGTTTGTGGTCGCGCTCAGTATCGCCCTTTAGGCCCGCTTGCTGCAACAAGAATGGTTGACTGACTTAGAAGAGAACACATATTTGTGGGCCAGGACGTAGCCTAACCATCCGCATGCGCACACTCCACACGAGAAAAGACGCCAGATTTTCGCGTCGCGTACGTATGCATCGCTGAACTGAGCTGGGTTCTATTAAAGCATGATTGATGGCAGATATCTACCAAGATCACCATTAGTACTAGTCAAGCACCTAACCTACATTTTCCCGGAGGAAGTGAAGTTGCTCGACAGTCGCTGAGCTATTTAAAAAAAAAAATTAATGTCGAATCTTATTAAAATATCTTCAACTTCAACTCGACAGCATTTTTTGGTTTCACTAATGTATCATTTCAGAAAGTTTATACCCGTTTACCATAGAATAAAATCATTTACAGATTTACAAAGTCCCACCTCCCTAAATTTAGCATGTACATCAACCAGCATGCAGACAGACAGGCAAGAAAAGTATGAAAATTCTGAGAAAAACCCATCAAATATAATGATTAAATCCCAGTCTTTATCAGTGATAAAATCACATCTAATATACACCTTCGTGTTCTAGAATACACATAGATTCATAAAAACGCTACGATACAACAATTCAGCGTCTACAAGTAGCACAAAAGACGGTAAAAAGACGACAATGTTATACAGACCTTTTTCGTATGAAAGTTGTTTGATACGTGCTGCCGTACCACGGATGAGAAATACACACACATTGATGACGTCACACACAAAATCCTTACGGATACAACACAGATACGCGCTACGGACCAGGAATTTACGCTTGCCAAAAGTCTCTATTATCTCGGTTGGTGCAGAAAAGTAGTAGGCCTACGTTAAACCCCATTCCATTTCAATTTTCCTTATAATCTATTGTCTATAAATAGCATAGTTTAACAGGAACGTTTTTTTTTAGCATCCATTATTTATGACAAGAACCTTTTGTTAATATAACATTCATTAAATATTTCAGAATAATGAAGAAATAAAAGTTGGAATGCAATTCGTGTTTCAAAGAATGAAAGTATGTGAATAAATTATATCAAATCTGGAAAAATTTAGACATTAACATATTATTTGAAGGATAGGCCCTAATCATCCATTATTGAATTTGGGAGTTATGCGTGCACAAGGGGGAGGGGAGGGGAAAGGGGAGGGGGCGGTGGCGTAGTGACTGAGATATTGGCTCGCAAACCTGGAGGTCCTGCGTTCGATCTCGGTGTTGGTCAATTTCACCCTTATTGGCAGTGGTGCAGGGCAGAGGGCCTGGAAGGGGACACGGAAAATCAAGGTACACGGCCGTGTAGGCTACACACTGGCGTACGATTACTATTACTACTGCCGTGTGCTATGAGGAAAATTTTGCCCGGACTGCGGCGTTCTGGCCTACTCTTCTATCGAATTCCAACTGCCAAGGGATCTTTTATGTGTACGCCAATGTGTACAAGAGACCTCAGTTTATCGTCCAATCAAAACAACTATTCGTTGTTCCTTGCCAGGAGGAACCACGCCGGAAAATCCTGATGAACTTACTCGGCCAATGCAGGGATCGAACAGAGGACCTCCAGATTAGCGAGCCAACGTCTTACTCACTGAGCCACCGAAGCTCCCAGTTGTTGATCAAAGCTGGCAGTAAGCAAATATGCATGGTTTTAATTGGAGTTAGGCCTATGTTGTTTCATTCAATTGTATACTATTTTATATTTCAGTTGTTCATGGGGTAGTTTAACTTTAATCATAATGTCGTGTTTTATTTTGTATTTCAGTTGGTTGTGGAAGCAGCCAGTGGAGCAGCTGTAGCAGCTGTTTTATCGGAACAGTTTAAAACATTAGACAGTTCCATTAAAAATGTAGGGGTTATATTGTGTGGGGGAAATGTGGATATTGATCATTTACCTTGGTATTAATACGTGTATACTCAAATTATCTCCCTTAGTATATATATGGAGGCAGACCACCATTAATTTCCCCATTGACTTCAATGTTAATTTTGGCCTCTTTGCCCACCTCCGACTTTTCCCCCTGCTTTTCACAACAGACGAACAAACGGTCATTTGTATGATGGTGACCACCAAAATTCTGAGATACACAAACTTGAAGAAGCATACTAAAAACATGTAACTGGTTGCCGTATATTTCACCGTAACCCAACTGATAACTCTGTTATCCTTCCGCCTCAAAATCATGAATATTTACCAAAACCTGGCAGAAAATGTTAATTCAAAACCTCTTTGTCCATTCTAGACCAATCAACAAAAAATGGGCATGCAACTGGGGAGAAAAAAGACACAGAGAGAATTGTTATAAGTTGTGAGTACCGAGATGGTGAAATTTAATGGTGGTCTGCCTCCATGTATATATAAATTATCTCCCTTAGTATTAATGCGCGGATACTTAAACATGCATCATGCAAGTGCTAAATCTGCCTATTGCAAGTCTTTATTTAGGCTTTAGATGTTATAGAAATTATTAATTTGACCTTTATTTACATGACAAGCTCAAAATCAACTCTGTCTAACCTCGGATGCCTTGCATACAGCTTGGATTTAAACAGTCGTCCATTTAAAATTAAGCTAAGGTTTACCGTAATTTGACTGAAATTTTCAATATTTTCTTTTTTTATCACCTATTTTGAAATTATTATACCAAGAAATGGCCAACTCTTTATTAAACTCTTTAACTAATGTATCTGTATATTATCTCTCTATGTACTTAGTGCTCATCACTACTGACAGTTAATAATGCTCTACTAGTTTGTAAATACGTAGACAAACTCTGACCCTAGCCATTGTAATGGTTATTGACCTTCAGGGGGGTGTCAGAACTATTACCTAGATTCCTCCTTCTCCGTCCAGATCCAGGTTTGATTAATTTCCTGAAAATCAATTTGTAGACTGTTATTACATAGGGTTTCTATAAAATGTTAGACAGAGAGAGATATGGGGTTTAACGTCCACTCGACACAACTAGGTTCAATTTTATTTCAATAATTCGCTTGCGCGTAGGGGTCTTTAGCAGTGAGAGGAAACCGGAGGACAAGGAGAAAACCCACGAGCTTGGACAGGCGACCCTACTCCTTGTCACGTACAACCGGGGAATCGATACCATGCCAGATGACTCAATGACAGATCTTATGATACAAAGCGCACATGCTACCCATTTGGCCATCCAACCCCCCTTATAAATATTTATGTATATGTTTATTTGTTATACGTTTTTTGATATCTTTATATATTGGCCCATCATATCAGTATAAAGATTCGGTATAGAGTTTAAAGCGATACACAACAAAAGTATTCTATTTATTAAAAAAAAACATAATTAGTCCAAAAACTTTCGGCAGGGCATTGAATATCGATAAATCATATTTTTAGTTTTCATTAATGTCCCCATAAAAAATAACAAAATTTAAATGTATTTTTGATCGGTTTATCTATTTACATATTTACACTTTACAAAAATATTTGTAAGCACATCTCCATTAACAGACATATAATATCTAAATAGTGATGACATTTAGCAACTGTTAGCTGGCTTGCCTCTCCATGTGTGAATAAAATATAGTACCATAGTTCTTAAAGGATACTCGAATTATAGATAGTAACACAGAACCTAAAGGCCAGGCCCTAGTTTCACAAAGCATTCTCAGAGTCAGACTTAAGTTAAGAATTTACTCAACTTTTAATCACTGTTTATGAGAAATACCTTTGATCCAGAAACACAAAAATTTGCACATAGTTTCTTTGTTGATGTATTTGATACATTAAAACTACAAAAGTTTTATTAAGGGCTATAGTTTAGTTAAAATAAAGCAAACAGTTTTGAGTAAATTCTTAAGTCTGAGAATGTATTGTGACACCAGGCCCTAATAGTACCAGATCATTCCTGGGAAACATATTAATTAATTTAATTCATGTTCTGATAACAAAGTAATGCTAAGTGTTTTAACACCATAATGAACTGTTTAAAGGGATGGTTTAAAGGTAAATAATTGCCACTCAAACTATCAACGGAAAACCTTTTGGCCGGCCACCATCTACATTTAATTTACCAGATGTGTTTGATAGTGAACATCAGAGTTTCCCAATGGTCGTACATACAAGTGTCTCTTTCATAACTTTAGTCTTTGAATAAAACAACTTTTGTGGTTGAATTGAACAATCTGAAAGTTTCACCATGAACTGAAATTTCCGAACCCACCGCTTCCTGATGGCTTTGGTTTCTTTTTAGCAACAGGTTCTTCCTCCCGTTTATCAAATGTTCTTTTGCTAAAAATAGATAAATAACCTTCATAGCTTCAGAAATATCAATATATTTATAATGTATTATTTTTATAATTTTTTTTATCAAAAAGCAATAAATTTATTCATAGCTTCAAAAACAGCAAAATATTTATATGTATTATTTTTTAGAATATTTTTATAGAAAAGAAATAAAATAAATTAAAATAAGACCCATTGACTTTATATATTGTTTTCACATCTTAACTCTTTAAAACGAGGCATTTGTTTTTCATGAGTGATGGAAGAGTCTGGGGATTTCTAACCCTTTTTCCCCATTTGGTAGGGGTAGTGCCTACAGGGCTGACAATAGAAGTGTTGCCTTGTCATTTGGATGGAACAAAAAAAAACAAGTTACAACCATGTACACACTGACATACACGTACAAGAAGCCTTGACAGTAGGCGAAACAGTGCTGTCCAGGTAAAATTTTACTCCCGTCTTAAATTGACGGCAGTATTGTGTTCATGAAGCGTTAAACACCGTAAGTATTTATATTAAATCTTTATGTCCTCAGTGGAATGCTTTATGCACTTTCAAGAAACATCTAAAACTTAAGCTCCCTAGCAGGGGTTGCTTTATACAATCTTGAAAAACATCTCATCCAGTGACAAGAGAGAGAAAGAGAGAGAGAGAAATGAGTTTTAAGGTCCACTCAACACAAAGTAGGTCATTTTGGGACTAACATATGGTTCAATTTTATTTCAATAATCCGCTTGCACGTAGTGGCCTTTAGAAGTGGGAGGAAACCGGAGGACCTGGAGAAAACCCACGAGGCTGGACAGGCGACCCTACTCCTTGTCACGTACACAATCGCTAGTTGACTCAATGACAGACATTATGATACAGCGCGCACATGCTAACCATTCGGTCATCCAACCCCCATCCAGTGACAAACACTCTAATCTTTTTCTGTATAATTCATAAACTGAACAATTAAACTCATCTGTGGTTATTTGCTGTGGACAAAAGTTATATAAATCATGACTTACGCAGCTGAAGAATTGATGTATTTTCCTACACCTTGTTTAAAAACTTTTAATTCTTCCTTCGGCATTTTTTTCACCATTTTCTTCTTCTGTAATTCATCTTCAGCTGCTTGTCTGTCTTCCTCGTCCTCTCTTTCTTTTTTTAACTAAATTATTTATCATTTGTAATTATTGTGAATATATTGGGAGAAATGAGAGAGAGAAAGAAATGAGGTTAACATCCACTCGACACAAACTAGGTCATTTCGGGACTAACATATGGTTCAATTTAATTTCAATAATTTGCTTGCGTGTAGGGGTCTTTGAGGAAACCAGAGGGCCTGGGGAAAACACAGAGGTTGGACAGGCGAAACAGCGTGCACGTGTTAACCACTCGGCCATCCAAAACCCCTATTGGTAGAAATGATTTTAATGGCAAACTATATGACACTGTGCATATTAAAATTATACTAAATTCCAAATATTGCCTATTCTTGGGAGACATGATTTTGTTGAAACCAATGTTTCGTAAGTGTGGTTAAGAAATAGAAACTCTATGGTACAATGTTATTTCAATAATTTGCTTGCAGGTAAGTGGTTTCCCCAGTTGTACATGACAAGAAGTAGAGTCGCCTGTCCAACCTCGTGGGTTTTCTCCAGGTTCCCTGGGATCCACCCACTTGTAAGACTCCTATAAAATTGAGCCACATGTTAGTCTTGAAATGATCTAGTGAACATTCAACCCCATTTCTCTCAGTGGCAGGAAAATTGGAGAACCCTGAAAAAAAAACCCACAAGGTTTGGGATGCGATAATACACCCTGTCACATACAAGTGTGGGTCGAACTTAATGATAGACCTTATGATCAAAAGAAGACATGTTAAACAAATCCACCACCACACCCCTGGGTTTTTTTTAACACTGACAATGTTTATTTTGTTTAACAGTAATTGGATTAATCTAGAAGCCTGGAATTTTTAACATGGACAACATTTATATTGTTTAATAGAAACTGGATTAATCTACAAACTTGAAATTTTTTAATTAATAATGAACAAAAAAAATTACCTGTTCATCTGCTTCATCAAATGGGTTGACAAAAACTACACAATTTTCTAATTTTATCTCTTTCTGAAAATTAAATATTTTTCAAAATGTATAATTTTTCTTATATGCTAGACTTGTATTAAAAATATCAACAGAAACATCAATAAAAACATTGAAAACAGACAAATCTGTGCCAGAAAAAATGACAGACACCAGAGAGGGACTGTACTTGACAAAGTCTGCATTTCAATCTGATTAAAATACAGATCTATATTTCGTTTCATTTTTTATACTTTCGATGCTACATAAAGATCTGACCAGTTGTACTGGGAGGTCACGTCAGGGGTAATACGAGCGGCTTTGGACCCAATGGTGTCAGACACCGGTGTCAGACATTGATTAATCAATCAGCGTTGACTTTTCTAGGGGTTTACCCACAGTTCCGTACAGAGCACGCCAAGAACTCGCCATAACAGACCATTTCATTGGCTTATTCCGCACATCAACTAGAACGCCTGTTATTCTTCCAGATCCTAGTGTTGTGAAGACAAGTAAATCAAAATTTTGAACTATACAAAACGAAACGAAATAGGATACTGTGTTTTAATCAGATTGTCTGAAATTGTGTCTGACAATGTCTGTGACAGATGCCATATTTTCAGGCTTGGTATATAGCACCGTAAATACTCAAAGACCTTCTGTCTATCGGGAAGTGCATTTAATATAGGTGACTTTTAGCCATTTTTTTCTTGATTATTAAATGAAAAATCCAATATATAATATTACCATTGGTCGATCATCTTTGTCAACTTCAATTTTTTCCATTTTATCTAAAGTTTCAATACCACCAACCACTCTACAATAAATAAATATTTCACAATTCTGTGATGTTATCAAAAGATCAGTGGTAAGAACACAGAATTTGTTATTTTTGTTCCATTTTATATTAGCATTTCGTTTTTATAGCGCATTTTAGTTGTTTTTACTACACTAGGAACTAGAAGAGTTGTTATCATTGACATGTTCTGAATAGTGTGGGATATTAGCCAATGAAACGTTCTGTTATGGCGAGCTTTAGGCGTGTTTTGCACAGAACTGTGGGTAATCCACTAGTAACATCAATGCTGATTGGTTAATGAAATGTCTGATTGAAAGTATAAAAAAACCGAAATGAAATATAGATCTGTATTTTAACCAGATTGGATGTATCTGGACGAGAATGAGTTTATTACATTCTTATTAAAATACAGATTTATATTTCATTTCGTTTTTTAAACTTTCGATGGCTTACACTACATGAAGATCTGACCAGTTGTAGTGGGAGATTGTGTCAGGGATCATACAAGCAGCTTTTGACCCTATGATGTCTGACATTTGATTAACCAATCAGCATTGATGTTTCTAGTAGGATACTCACATTTCCATGCATCACACGCCAAGAACTTGCCGCAACAGACCGTTACATTGGCTAATCCCTCACATCAACCAGAATGAAGGTTATATAACAACTCTTCCAGATCCTAGTGTAGTAAAAACAAGTAAAACAAAATTTTAAACAATAAAAAAACAAGATAGGTTGCCAGGCAACAAAACATACGCCCACAGCAGCAAAATCGTCCGAGCAGTCGACAAGGGTTGTCGCATAATTATTCTTTTGTAGGTGATTAGGGGAATTTAATAGACAATTTCATACAGATGAGATTATAATTTTCGTCGTTTGAGGGTTAAGGTTCTAAAAACTAAAACTAGGGCCGTAACTCTTGAAGTAATCTACAGAAATTGTTGAAATTCGACAGGCTTTTTCGTTTTATTAATTCAAAAAATGCATATAAATTTCATACAGAGCCATAACTCTAAAAGTAATTGACGGAAATAGCTGACATTCAATAGGCTTCTTCAATTTACTAATTCAAATGATGCATATGAATTTCATACAGATTAGGTGATAACTTTTGTTGTTCAAGCGTTCTCAAGATTCAACAAAGTTAAACAAGGGCCATAACTCTAGATGTAATTAATAGAAATTTGCTGAAACTCAATAGGCTTGTTCCTTTTACTAATTTAAACAATACATATCCATTTCATACAGATCGGATAATAACTTTTGTCGTTAGAGCATTGACAAGGTACAACAAAGTGAAACAAGGGCCTTTACTCAAAGCGTAGTTAACGGAAATTGCTGAAATTCAATAGGTTTCTTCATTGCACCAATTTCAAACAGATCGGATGATAACTGTTGTCATTAGAGCATTCACAAGATTCAACAAAGTGAAACAAGGGCCATACTCTAGATGTAATTAACGGAAATTGCTGAAATTCAATAGGCTTCTTTGTTTTACTAATATAAATGATGCATATAAATTTCATACAGATCGGTTGATAACTTTTGTCGTTAGAGCGTTCACAAGGTGCAAAAAAGTGAAACAAGGGCCATAACTCCAGAAGAAGTTAATGGAAGTTATTGAAATTAAATAGGCTTCTTCATCTCACTAATGCAAACAACATATATTAATTTCAAAACAATCAGATGATAAATGTAGTCTGTAGAGTGTTCACAAGAAATTGTGGACGATGGACGGACGGACCGACAGACGGACGGTGGCGACGGCAATATACGACCACATTTCCATGTGGGCGTATAAAAACGACATATGATCTGTGTTTTAATCAGAATGAGTTTATTAATTGACAGTAACTTGAACTGACAAAGAAATTCTTCAGAATTTGTCAAGTCTTGTTACATCATTCAGGTACAGATGAATATCAAAGATGCTTGATAGTAATTATTCTTTGAATGGTATTTAGACTAAATATAGTAATTGGAACATAATCATATAAAACAATATTTATTGATAACAATTACTCAGGGGCAGATCCGAGGGGGGGGGGGGTGATAAAAGATGTATAATTATAAATATATGTAGATAAAAGATGTATAATTATAAATATATGTAGATAAAAGATGTATAATTATAAACATACGTAGATAAAAGATGTATAATTATAAACATATGTAGATAAAAGATGTATAATTATAAATATATGTAGATAACAGTGTAATTTAATACACCATTTGGGGGGAAAAGGGCAATGCTATGACTGAATGGTTAGCGTGCGTGCACTGTATCATAAAGTCTGTCATTGAGTCGACTGGCGTGGTTTCGAATCCCCGGTTGTACGTGACAAGGAGTAGGATCGCCTGTCCAACCTCGTGGGTTTTCTCCGGGTCCTTCGGTTTCCTCCCACTGCTAAAGACCCCTACGCGCAAGCGAATTATTGAAATAAAATTAAACCATATGTTAGTGACTAAATGACCTAGTTTGCTAGTTTGTGTGGAGTGGACGTTAAACCCCATTTCTCTCTCCTCTCTCCCAAAAATGTGAGCTGTTCCCACAAAACCGGGCTCTAGGTCATTTTTTGAAAATAAAGGTGGCAGCATATTTGAATAGTCGACAGCTTTCCAAAAATGTAATTCTTTTTAAATTTATCGTATCAACTGGAGTTTGGCTCATTCAAGGCAACAAGAAGGCATATGGTTTATGCTTTTGTGCCGCTAGTACAAAATGAATTTGTTCGACACAAATGAATAAAATAGTTAAAGAGACAATGATGAGAGGTTCATAATCCATGTTTACCACAATTGGTTATAAATAATTATATCTGACTGATAATATATACTGTACTTACTTGCCAAACACTGAATGTTTTCTATCTAAATGTTTCGCTGAACGATATGTGATGAAACTGAAAAATAATACATTAAAGAACTCAAACAAGTAGTAAGTTTGTAATTAATTAATTATCTTGCATTCAATATATAGCATATCCATATTTTTTGATTGGCAATACATGAATAACATTAGAGATAAACCCTGGAAAATAGAGTCTTATTTCAAATTTTAGCCAATTTTCTACAACAACCAAGCTAATGAAGATGGGGGACATACCTAAGGGGTAAAAACACATTTGTATTGTAAAGATTATTATTATAATTCAATTTTTTTATAAAGAGCCCTTTCAAAAATAGTGATCAAAAGCACTTTGCAATAAACAAATGAAATGAAATGGGGTTTAAAGGCTCAATAATATGTCCCAATCTTTATTCTGGTCAACAAATTGTACTATTTTACAATATTCCAATTAATTGATGATACAAATTTCATCTTCACACACCTAATTAAAAAAATTGGAAAAATTCAACTAAATGATTTGAAAAGCCTGACGTAAAGCTTTTCAAATGTGACCTGGATTTAAAAATATTTTTGAACCCTCTGGACAAGTAAAATAGGATTTAATGGATAATTTACACAACAGGTAAGACACTAACACATCTAGTACTTAGAATAAGGCTATTATTTATTTTCTGGAGTTGTCAAGCCAGCAAGAGTGTTACTGTCCCTTTAACGTTCTACTCTGACTGAGTTAATAAAAATGGGCATATGCTTAACAGTGTGCTATGAGAAAATTATGGCCTACTCTTATATCAAATTCCAACTGCCAAGGAATCTTTACGTGCTCGCCAATGTATACAAGGGGAAGCCACGTCGGAAAACCTTGATAAACTTTCCAGGCCAATGCAAAGATGGAACACTCGACCTCCAGTCTAGCGATCCAGCATCTTACCCACTTAGCCACCGTGGCTCGAATAAACAAATGATAAAAACAAATAACATGTATAAATGTTAATAAAACATAATTAACCTACAATTGTGATTTATTAGTATTTTCCCCTGAGTTGGCCATACTTAATACTCCCCGTCCAGAATGGGTTAAATTTGGCTTAAATTCATCTCGGAATGTTCCACCCCAAGCTGATTCTCCTCCTGAAAAACAGAAAATATTTCTACATGGTAGATATATACAAGTACGACAAAGAGAGAGAGAGAGAGAGAGAGAGAGAGAGAGAGAGAGAGTTTAACTGTCCACTCGACACAAACTAGGTCATTTAGGGACTAACACATGGTTCAATTTTATTTCAATAATTCACTTGTGTGTAGGGGTCTTTAGCAATGGGAGGAAACTGGAGGACCTGGAGAAAACACACGAGGTTGGACAGACGACCCTACTCCTTGTCAAGTACAAGCTGAGATTCGAAACCACGCCGCTTGACTCAATGACAGACCTTGTGGTCAAATGCAAACGCGTTAACCATTCGCGCCCCCCCCCCCCCCACCAACACTGGGATCAAACCCTGGACCTTTTGGTTTGCGAGCCAGTGCCATACTGGTTAAATGAGCTATCGAAATGAATAAGAGGTGATATGATATATTCAAGATCGATAGAAATGGAAATTAAATGAACCAAGTCATTTCTGAACTAACACTGATAGCTCAACTTGTTTCCCTTAAGATAATCTTAAATCTGTTTCAATTAATTAAAAAATCTAATTCTTTAAGGAAAAAACAGAAATTAATTACCTTTGCCTGTTCCAGTTGGGTCACCACCTTGTATCTAAATATAAACACATTTGAAATATTGAGATAAAAAATTATAAAAAATCATGTTTCAACATTCTTGTTTTATAGGAGAAATCATAGATATATTCAGTAAACGGAAAAGGTTAGAACGTCCACTCGACACAAACTATAGGTCATTTTAGGACTAATATATAGTCCAATTTATTTTTAATAATTTGCTTGCATATAGGGGTCTATAGCAGTGGGAGGAAACCAGAGGACCCAGATAAAACCCACGAGGATGGACAGGCAATTCTACTCCTTGCCACGCAAAAGCGGGGAATTGAAACCATGCTATTTGTCTCAATGACAGACCTAATGATCCTATGTGCACGGCGCACATGTTAACCATTTAACCAACCAAACCCTGCCGAGAAAACTTAGAAACTTACAAATTTTTAAACAAAGATTTGATATTGAACGAATGTGAAAGAAATTAGTGCTAGATACACAAGATTAAATCATACCTGGGTTACAGTGTGTTATGTTACCATAATATTTTTTATAGTAATTAGGACATTATTGGACATTATTATGTTATAAAATTTCCTATAGTAATTAGGACATTATTATGTTATCAAATTTCCTATAGTAATTAGGACATTTATTATGTTATCATAAAATTTTGTACAGTAATAAGGACATTGATATCTTACCATAAAATTTTGTATAGTAATTAGGACATTATTATCTTACCATAAAATTTTGTACAGTAATTAGGACATTGATATCTTACCATAAAATTTTGTACAGTAATTAGGACATTGATATCTTACCATAAAATTTCGTATAGATCTGTGAAATATTGTATCATTATAATATCCTCTAGCAGCTAATTTCATAAAATTCTCACAAGTTTTTGGTACCTGAAATATAAAGTGTACAGAAACTATTACATCATTTAACTGATCTTTAGGTCTTAAAGAAACAGTATGTAAAGATTTAGATAAAGAGCTGGCCATTCTTGCTATAATCAGTCAAAAATAGATTATGAAAAATGAATATATTGAATATTCAGTCAAATTGCTTTAATCTGAGTAAAGTTTTGACAAGAAATAGCGATAAACTGTTTGTTATTGACTGATTTAAACTCTGTTCATATTATCATGTACTATTGTTATGTTAAACCAATAATCTAGTTCAATATAATACTTTTGCATGGATGGCAAACATTGTTTGCGTTTCCAATGGATGAAGAAAAGACCAAGTCTCTCATTCATATTATTGTGACATCATAGCAGTAACACATGACAGGAAGTGGCTGCACTTGATTAGTGAATGGAAGCTCTGTGTTGTACTTAATTAACAAGTTGAAGTTACTCATACAAAATACAACAATTTCAATATAATACTTCTTATTTGCTTTTATCATCCCATGCCGAAAAATGTTAAGGAAGGGATAAGGAGATAGGATCTGTCTGTCCAGGATTTTATTCCATAGTGAGAGGGAGAGAGAAATGGGGTTTAACGTCCATTCGACACAAACTAGGTCATTTCGGGACTAACACATGGTTTAATTTTATTTCAATCATTTGCTTGCGCATAGGGGTCTTTAGCAGTGGGAGGAAACCAGAGGACCAGGAGAAAACCCACGAGGTTGGACAGGCGACCCCATTCCTTGTCACGTACCACCGGGGAATCGAAACCCCGCCAGTTCACTCAATGACAGACTGTATGATACAGTTCACATGCTAACCATTCGGCCATACAACCCCCTTTATTCCATAGTATTTCATGTCATAGATTGAAAAGACAACATGCAAAAGTATTAACAAAATGTAAAGTATTATAATAACACTGGAAATCTTACCATATCACAAAATAATTCTAAGTTTAAGGGGCCGTAATTTGTGAGAATTCTAACATAACCTTTTTTCTTCACTCTCTCATATCGTAAAACATCTTCATCGATAGCAGCTGTAAGGAAAAACAAAACATTATAAGAATCATTATAATCAAAATGGGATATAACTCATTATAATCAAAATGGGATATAACTCATTATAATCAACGTGAGACAATGAAACATTATAATCAACATAAGTTATAACTCATTATAATCAACCCTAGTCATAACTCATTATAATCAACCTGAGTCATCACTCATTATAATCAACCCGAGTCATAACTCATTATAATCAACCCGAGTCATAACTCATTATAATCAACCCGAGTCATAACTCATTATAAGTCATAACTTATTATAATCAACGTAAGTCACAACTTATTATAATCAACCCAAGATATATCTTATTATAATCAACCCAAGTCATGACTTATTATAATCAACCTGAGTCATGACTTATTATAATCAACCTGAGTCATGACTTATTATAATCAACCCGAGTCATAACTTATTATAATCAACCTGAGTCATAACTTATTATAATCAACCCGAGTCATAACTTATTATAATCAACCCGAGTCATAACTTATTATAATCAACCCGATTCATAACTTATTATAATCAACCTGAGTCATGACTTATTATAATCAACCTGAGTCATAACTTATTATAATCAACCGAGTCATAACTTATTATAATCAACACAAGTTATAACTCATTATAATCAACGTAAGTCATAACTTATTATAATCAACCTGAGTCATAACTTATTATAATCAACCTGAGTTATAACTTATTATAATCAACCTGAGATATAAAACATTATAATGAACCCGATATATAGTATTATAGTACACCTGAACTACAGAATCAAAGTACACTTTTTAAAAATAAACAATTTACACTACTGTTGTGTTTGGGGTGTGACAGAGGAATGTTTTTACCTGCTATGTGTTGTGTTTGTGGTGTAACAGCTGTAGAAGTAAAGGAAGCAGAAACAGCACCCGTTGAATATCCAGCCTGCAGAATAAAACATTTATAAAATAATAGATACCATACCAGTAGCCCAACTAAAAATCATGATTCAGATAAAATCTTAAAATACTCAGTTACCCCTAAAACACCATTAGTTTGATATCCTTAGGAGAGGGAGAGAGAGGATTGGGGTTTAACGTCAACCAGGGAATCACGCCAATTTACTCAATGACAGGCCTTACAATACAGCGCGCATGCTAACCATTCAGCCATCCACGCCATCCCAAGTTGAAAATATTCCTTTCGTTAAAAAATAAACACTTACCGCATTAAATTTATCAATCTTTACTTTATTTTCTTTTATTTCCTACAAATAAAAACAGACTAATAAATATATGACCATATAGTTAACGTTAGTATAGAAATTACTAGTTAAAGAAAAACCTCTAGATGAGAGTTTACATTGTAATATTTATTTATTATCTGGGTTTATTTTGTAATACCAGGTATTTAATATTACTAGTCTAGATGATGTCTATATTGTAATATCACCAGGGTTTATATTGTAATATCACCAGGGTTTATATTGCAATATTACCAGGGTTTATATTGTGATATTACCAGGGTTTTTATTGCAATATTACCAGTCTAGATGATGGTTTATATTGTAATATTACCAGGGTTTATATTTACCAGGGTTTATATTGTAATATTACCAAGGTTTATATTGTAATATTACCAGGGTTTATAATGTAATATTACCAGGGTTTATAATGTAATATTACCAGTCTAGATGAGGGTTTATATTGTAATATTACCAGTCGAGATGAGGGTTTATATTGTAATATTACCAGGGTTTATATTGTAATATTACCAGTATAGATAAGGGTTTATATTGAAGTATTTAATATTACCAGTATAGACGATGGTTTGTAATCTCTATCAAGTTCATCTAAAACATTCTTGGCTTCATGATTGATGGATTTTAAATTATGTCGTGGATCTTTCTTTGATGCCTCTTCGTCTAGAATTATAAAAAAAATACTCCAACATACAAATAATATAATGTAATGGGTATAAACAGTTTTTTTCTATCAACAATATACCTAAGTTTTGAGACTAACATGTGGTAATATTCATATCTGCTGTGGCTTTTAGGACTATACATGTACCTAAGTTATGAGTCTAACATATGGTTATATTTATATCTGCTATGGTTGAATTTCATATGGCTTTTAGGCTTTAGGACCTATACCTAAGTTATGAGTCTAAAATGCAATTATAATTAATAAATCTGCTATGGTCGAATTTCATATGGCTTTTAGGACTAAACCTAAGTTTAGAGACTAGCAGTTGTTATATTTACTATAGTCGAATTCATGTGGCTTTTATGACTACCTAAATATATTTATATTTACTATGGGCTAATTCCATATGGCTGTTAGGGAATATAACTAAGTTATGAGACTAACATATGGTTATATTTATATCTACTACGGGCGAATTCCATAAGGCTTTTAGGATCTATGCCTAAGTTATGAGTCTGACATATGGTTATATTTATATCTACTATAGTTGAATTCCATATGGCTTTTAGAACATATACCTAAGTTACGAGTCTAAAATATGATTATATTTACTATGATCGAATTTCATATGGCTTTTAGGATTAAACCTAAGTTATGAGACTAACATATGATTATATTTACTATGGGCGAATTCCATATGGCTTTTAGAATATATACCTAAGTTATGAGACTAGCAGTTGGTTATATTTACCATGGTCGAATTCATATGGCTGTTATGAGACTAACATATGGTTATATTTATATTTACTATGGTTGAATTTCATATGGTTGTTATGATTATTCTATATTTTAATAATGAATTAATAAAATAATACTTGCTTGAATAATACTCAATAATACTGACCTTCATCAGTAACTTTGAGATTCTTTTTGATGTGATAAAATTCAGCAATATTAAATTTATCTAGATGAGTTGGATCTTGTATGGTAATAATGTCCTTTCTTTCAAACGGCTCATCTGTTATTAAATCTTTCATATTCTTAGCTTTTAAATTTAATCTGTCTATAGCCTGTTTCAATAAAAGAGAATACATTCTTCAATAATTTTTATATAAAATAAGGTAAGAGAAATGAATCTATACTCTGTTTCAACAATATCAGATAACCGTTCACATTGTACCATTACAAAACTTAAAGATACATTATAGGTGATTAGATAAAGAGCTGGCAGTTCTCACTATAATAGTTATAAACTAGATAATGTAAAGGGAAATTGCTGAAAATTTCAGTCAAATTGATCCACTCTGAACTGAGATTTTAGCGACTGAATTTTGGCTTAGCCTCGATCATCATTATTAAAGTCGGTACAATAAAAAACATAGTCTCGATTATCCATTTTATGATTAAATTATGAATGGAAGTTGAACAGCAAATCGGAACCTAATCCAATAAACATCGCAGGCTAGCGATGCCATTGAGAGTTGATTATGGTCTGGATAAATTAATTAATGTCTAATTAATAATTTAGATAACATTTCAGGCCTAAAGAAAGACCTGCAATATAATCAGATTTAGCTCTTGCATAATGTATGTTTAAATAATGTACTTGTATATGCTAAGTAAATGTATATGTACTTCAGACAAATATGACCAATTTTCTTCAACAGAATTTTCCTGCTACATTATCTAAGAACACCAGAGTTTCATACCCAGCTTCAGACTTTTTATCACTTTACAAAGTAGACCACCTAATAAAAATTCTTCTGTTTCTGCTGTTCTTTGATTTCATAAAACCCTGTGATGCAGAAATTACTAAATAAAACTCTGCATGTGATATACGATTGATTTTTAGTGCAATAATGTCAGAATGCTGAGTTTTATAAGCATTTATTTATTGAGGGGGCCATATAATGGTTGCCGAAGAACCACACCAAGCCAATGGATCTGGGTGTCATCTGTAAGCGTCCACTGCACTCTTCAGTCACTCAAAATAAAAACCAACTTGTTAAAAACATAAAACATACCAAATATTGTATTATATTGATACTAACCTCATGTGCGTAAACATGGCCAGTAGGTTTAATGGCTACAATATGACTGTTTTCATTGAAGATTTTAAATGTTACTGGACAGTGATACTTGTCTGTAAACAAAAATAAGTAAATAAACATTCTGGTGCATTGATATAACTAATTCTAAGCTATCCACACATATGCAAAATAAAATGAAATGAAATGGGGTTTAAAGAGAGAGAGAGAGAGAAATAAGGTTTAATGTCCACTCGACACAAACTAGGTCATTTCGGGACTAACATATGGTTTAATTTCAATAATTAGCTTGCGCGTAGGGGTCTTTAGCAGTGGGAGGAAACCGGAGGAAACCCACGAGGTTGGACAAGTGAGAAATGGGGTTTAAAGTCGTACTGTTCTGCTGCGAACTGGGCTAATGAAGACGGTCATACGCCATACAGTTTGCTATGAGGGAAATTTTGCCTGGACAGCAGCACTACGGCCTACTCTTATATCGAATTCCAACTGTCAAGAGATCTTTTATGTGTGCGCCAATGTGTACACGGGACCTTGTTTTTTTGTCCTATCTGAACGACTAGACAGCTGTCCTTGTTAGGCCCTCCGTCCTGCATTACTGACAAGGTGGAACCACCCTTGAAAACCACACATACATGTATGCACACATAATATCCAAAACAAAGCTATCCACACATATATCTATTCCTAAGCTATCCACATATATGCACAAAGGAAATTAATGTGTGCACAAATTTTATGCCATATAAAGATACATTCTCATTTTCAGATACTGTTGAATCACTGTACATTCATAAAATGTATCTTGAATCTTGTCACAATAAGCATTTGTTTGAAATATTGTGAGAGAGAGAGAGAAATGGGGTTTAACGTCCACTCGACACAAACTAGGTCATTACATAATTCGCTTGCGCGTAGGGGTCTTTAGCAGTGGGAGGAAACCGGAGGACCCGGAGAAAACCCACGAGGTTGGACAGGCGACCCTACTCCTTGTCACGTACAACCGGAGATTCGAAACCACGCCAGTCGACTCAATGACAGACTTTATGATACAGCGCGCGCACGCTAACCATTCAGCCATCCAACCCCCCATTGAAATATTGTAAGCTACTAAAATATAGATTATGTATTTTTACTTACCATCACTATTTTTGTGGAAATTTAATCTGATCAATTCTTTGAAGCTCATTTTCTATAAGATATAAAAACTAAGTATATTTGTATACTAACATATACACGGAAATTGAAATGTGGAGGAAAGAAATACAGATGAGTCGAGTGATCTCAGTTGACTCAGTTGAGTCGAGTGATCTCAGTTGAGTCAAGTGATCTCAGATGAGTCTAGTGATCTCAGTTCCATCAGAACATCATCATGCCTTTAATACACATTCTACATTAATCATTACATTAACCACATTCTCCATTAATCATTACGTATTAAAGGCTTAAAATACCATAATCTCAACTGCTCATTACGTTGTAACCATGGTTTCCATGTTGGCCATATATGCCGGTCATGACCGAAGGCTATGTAAAATGAGCGAAACTAGATCTGACCTATCGGTCATTTTAATGGAAATATAGTCTATTTTTCAAAAACTTAATTTCTAAACATGGCTACAATCGACCTCCACCATGTAACTATAAAATTATATGGGCTGTACAGAATATAGCACACACTTAAAAAAGAAGTCACATAATCTCATGATTGGTGTTATAAATAGTTGTCAAATTGTTACCCACACAACAAAGGTAATCCAAAAATGAGTCTTGTTGATTTATTGAATCTGGTTATATCAGCATGTAATGTAATCTACATAATAATAAATACAAAAAAATTACAGTACCTCACCAGTAACGGGACTAAGTCCATATTTCTTTAGAAAAGGAACAATATTCCTGAAAATAATCAGTTCTAAATGTGGTCCTTGACTCATTACAATCACAAATTATATTTAACAACCGAGAGAGAGAGAGAGAGAGAGAGAGAGAGAGAGAGAGTTTAACATCCACTCACACAAACTAGGTCATTTTAGGACTAATATACATGTATGGTTCAATTTTATTTCAATAATTCGCTTGCACATAGGGGTCTTTAGCAGTGGGAGAAATGATTTATTTGGCTGCAGTATGTTTGGGAGACGTTGTATTCCTATCCTCTTGAAATCAGTGTTTCAATCTAAAATAACAAAAATCATGGTCTACTTACATCAGATCAAAAACTATTCCTTCTTTTGTACACAGTGGATTCTCAAATGGCTGCATGGATAAACTACAAAAGAAATTGTTACATGTATATTTACTTCCCAATACGTTTACCAAGTCTCAAAAGATATATGAAATTTGGTTATTTCTCTGCATTAACTATATTTATAAAAGCAGGTATGCTTGCAGTGTGCTATCATGGAAATCTTACCAGACAGCAACACAATGATTTACTCTTATTACGATTTAAAGCTTTCAGGGATTTTTACTATGATGCCGATGGTATACAAAGGAACTCAGTTTTTTTTTTATCCTATCCATAAAACTATACATTTTTATCTTGCCGGGCTCTCAATCATGCACAAATGAAATGTGGAAACATGCTGGAAAACCCAATCGACTATTTTCCATCAACCCCCTGATTAATCCCGATCTCTCTCCATGCACATATATTTTAATATACTAATGTCCAAAAAAAAGTATACACTGTGCATTTTGTGCTGCATCAACCAAAGTCGTTTTTCCATGGTATACGGTATTTGGGTACAATGTCAATTTGTTTCCCTTTTTTGGGGGTTAGAAATGTTGATTTTGGATTCAAGAGACAAACTCACTAATGTTTTATCAAATATTTTTAATCTAAACAAAACTTAGTCCTATTTTTAGTGTGTATACTTTCTTTTGGACATTAGTACATGTATATTATTTTTGAGAAAATCAGCATCAGGTAGAAGTATGAAATTAGTCCTTGGTCTGACCTGAGCGTAAATGAAAAATCCCGGCCATAGTTAATCCGCTCTGCCCATGCTCTAAATTTCCTCCGCAAATTTGAGTAAATCGCCGACCACCACAGATTTGTTAAACCGCCAAGGAAATTGAAATGTATCAACCGTAAAATTCAATATGTTGAATTTTGATGTGCCTATTGTTACATACATATTTATAATAAATACTGACCTACAACAGTGAAACGGTAGACGTCTGAATCGAGAATTACTTCCAGTATTCTTGGTACCTTTATATCCACCCCATTCATGGGTCCATTCAGAATGGGTCAAATATCTGTAACATAAGAAGTAAAAAACAATTCTTGACCTTTCTATCAGAATATTAATGTCATAGATCTCAGTATTAGTGTCATCTAGTGCTCAGTATGAATTTACAATGCCATACTGCTTAGAATTAGTCTCAACCAGTGTTGTCGGGCCGGGATGTCTAGGAATAGTCTCATACAGTGTTGTCGGGCCGGGATGTCTAGGATTAGTCTCATACAGTGTTGTCGGGCCGGGATGTCTAGGATTAGTCTCATCCAGTGTTGTCGGGCTGGGATGTCTAGGATTAGTCTCATACAGTGTTGTCGGGCCGGGATGTCTAGGATTAGTCTCATACAGTGTTGTCGGGCCGGGATGTCTAGGATTAGTCTCATACAGTGTTGTCGGGCCGGGATGTCTAGGATTAGTCTCATACAGTGTTGTCGGGCCGGGATGTCTAGGATTAGTCTCATCCAGTGTTCTCTTGGGTGTACAGGAAGGAAAATAACAGGCTGGTAATAAACCCTGAAGGTAATTTGGAACTCCATTGTAGTTGATAAAGACAATTCGTTGACACCATTCTGGCCCCGATGAGAGAATAATAATTGTCCCACCAGTCTAGCCCAATGAGAAGATAATAGTCCCACAAGTCTAGCCCACTGAGAAGGTAATAGCCCCACCATTCTAGTCTATGGAGAGGATAATAGCCCCATCATTCTAGTCCAGGGAGGGGATAATAGCCCCACCATTCTAGTCTACTGAGAAGGTAATAGCCCCACCATTCTAGTCCACGGAGAAGGTAATAGCCCCACCATTCTAGTACACTGAGAAGATAATAGTCTCACCATTCTAGTCCTGGGAGAAGATAATAGTCTCACCATTTTAGTCCAGGGAGGGGATAAAAGTCTCACCATTCTAGTCCACTGAGAGGATAATAGTCCCTCCAATCTACATGTAGCTCATTGAGAAGATAATATTCCGACCATTTAAGTGAGTGAATGTACCCTATCAATGCAGCTGATATCAGTACTGCAATCCCAACATTCTAGCTTAGAAAATGACAATATGTAAAACCTGCATCTTCAGCTACTTAGGCATAGTTCATGTAACTATTAGTATTGGCGTTAACTGATACATGTAGATAATAATCTTGTCCTTTCAGCTAATTGAGTGACAGTGACCACATAATTCAAGTTAGCAAAGCGACAGTAACCTAATCACTCAAGCTGCAGCTATCTGGGAGACACATACAGTAAACAAATTTTTCAATCTAATTCACTCTAGCTAAATGAGAAATAATTAGCACATTTTTACAATGAAATGGGGTTTAACGCCCTACTTTTCTGCAACAACCGGCTAATGAAGAAGGGCATATTCCATGCTGTTTGCTATAACTTATAAGGGGAAATTTAACCTGGACAGTGGCTTTCCGTCTACTATTCATAAAATTCCAACTGTCTTGGGTTCTTTTATGTGTATGACAACATGTACAGACGAAATCAACTTTTTCTTCCCATCCGAACAAATAGATGCTGTTTCTTGCCATGAGGAAACCATGCTGGAAAATTCAGAGGAAGTTTCTGAGCCAACGTCTGGATAGAATCCAGGAACTCCAGGTTTGTGTTCCAGCACCTAACCCACTGAGCCACAGTTTTACGGCTAAACCCAATAATAACCCCACCCTCCCATCATTTTGTCTAGTTCATTGAATGACATTAAAAATATTGGTCAATCAAATGTACAGCTCATTCACACATTAACACATCATAAAAACTATGTTATTGGTTTTCCAAAAATCTTTTATTGTACATTTTTTTATGAAAAATGATGAGAACTATAAAATCAGACACATGTAGAATGACATAACAACAAAAATATGGGTAGAACATGTGTCATCAGAGTTTTGTTATTTCAATGTTTGTAATAAATCTATTACGTCCGGTTTCAATGTACAATTTCTATAAACAACTTTTCTTTTTAATTTTTCAAAGATAACCAAAAAATACATGTAGCACTATAGTAAATTAACAAAATTGTCAAAAAATTAATTTCATAAATTATTCCTTAATCATTATGTACATTTAACAATAACAAGGTACATTGTACATGTAATATCTAAATCCACAGAAAGTTTGCATTTTCAACAAGTTTCTAACTTTTTTTTAACACTTTTCAAGTCACAACCTGCATTTTGAGACAACTAACATGTACTTCAGTCATAATACTTAACCCAAGTTTAATGTTATTTTTGGGAGAGATTTTCCACGTTACAAAACACCTGCCCCATCCATATACATGTACAAGCATTGCAATTTAAAATTTAATTAATCATAATACAAAAATAATCAAAATATATCAAAGGAAACCTTTTTTTATATTAAATCATTTTCTACGTTTATAACCAAAACCTTTTTTAAAAGGTTTCTCATTTTTCTTTTGTTCCGAGACTATCTTTTCTACCTCGTCCACATTTTTATGAAGAAAAGTAAACAAAAGTTTAGCGTGGCTAGAACTACCCAGAATTTCTGTGAGACGTTCTTCAGAGAGTGTCACAAGTTCTGCTAAATCCTTAACTTTGTTCATAACCTGACGAAAATTCTTAGAATTAATACCAGGCATTTTGAGTAAGAAGTCTTGTGGAGCGTGGCTATACCGATCAGCTAAATCAGATGTATTTTCAATAGCTGTGACAGACATTGCCTCAGCTGCATCAGGTTCTGGTCGATTTTCTTTCAGTTCGTCACAAAGTTCTGCGGTTGCGTACGGACTCGGGCACCACAATATTCTCAATTTACTAAAATGCATGGTTAATAAAGCTAATTGTGAACTAATGTCTTTCATAGATACTTCATTACTTAAGGAATATTTGCCTTGCAAGGAAAAGGATTTGTTTGCATCGAATTCGATTAGTAATATGGGTCGTTTGTAATATCTACACATCGCGACACACTGATTATATAAACGACCATTAGACAATGAACCAATTAAATCACTCAAACTTTTGCGCTCAACACAGATATCAGGCGTAAGAATATAATCACCGACTTCCAGGGTAACTGGTTCAATATCAATACCTCTTCTATGAATTAAAGATGGCAGCTCTGATCGGAATTCTCGCATGTCGACGATAACTTTTCGATTCTTTGGCTGACTGGGGAGACCACCTTTACGCGAATTAGTGGTTGCATTAGCAGGAGTTGCTCCCCTTTCTAACTCAGGATCTTCATCAAGTTTTCCATCGCTTTGTTCAGAAATCACCATCTGACCCTTTTGCTGAATCAAATGTTCGAAAGCTTCCTTTTCTTTTCGGAGAGTTGTGAGGTAATTTTGTTCTTCAACAGAGCTGGTGTACATGAGAAAATAAACTCTAAGTGGAACTCCCGGTCGAGATGCTCTGAACACTTCAAGCTGACGAACCAACTGCATGTCCGCGTCGTACAGGATAACATATTTTGGTTGAACTTCTTGAAGAACTTTCGTTAAACTATGAGGATCCGTACATCCATGAAGAGGATGAAGAACTGTCACAGGCGATGAAATAACACCATAATAAGCATCTTGGGATAAGTGTGGATTGCCTTCATCTTCTGAACCTTCTTTCAAATCACCGTCATTTTCTTTTTCCATGTTGACCATCATTTGTGTCAAAGTCAGTTCATCACTTTCTTCCTTAGAATGACCTCCCTTTTGTTTATAATTTTTCTGTTTCTCAAACTCAACTTGCTGGGCTCCTTTCAATTTTAGAAATTTATTAAAGAGTCTTGAAAGAATCGATCTACTACCTTGACTGAGATATTCTTTCAGTTGACTGCATGTACGATCATCCTCGGCGCAAACTAAAACATTGGTGGGACCAGCAGACCTGTCAGCATCCTTATTTTCTTCTTCTATTTCTTTCAGCAATTCAGATAATGCCTCCCATTTTGGACAATTTTCTAACAGTGGTTCTTTTTGCGTTTCTGTTTTTTCTTTTCCCTCCTCACCTTTCTGTTTTTTCTTTTTGTCTTCTATGCCATAAACACGATCCTTAGCATGAACGAACAAACTGTCAGCTGCGTCCAGAAACAACCAACCAGTGTTCTGGCCGAACGTCTTTTCATTGGTTCTGATGGAATGAACAAGAGAGTAGAAAGAAACACAGTCGTACTGGGTTAGAAACTTGAGGATCAATCGTAAAGTTTTTAAATCAGAGACGAGCTGACGTGTTTTTGGCCCGAGGGAATTCCAGATTGGATCTAACTGAATTCTTATAGTTTTATCAAAAGATCTTCCCAAAGCATTTTCAACAGTCACTTCTTCAGTGTCAACAGCAGTTGTGCATCTTTTAAGTTCTTTGATGCAAGCATTGATTAAATCTAACAATGCTGTCTGACACGCGACCATGGACGGAGTTAAATGCAAATGAATTTCAACCACTTCCACTTGATGTTTTTCCATGCATGAAACAACACTAGCATGAAATCTCGGCCACAAGAAAACTTTACGCACAAACAGATTTTTCATCATGCGTTCGACATGACAGAAACCAGTGGTAAATGAATATGGGCTGTCGGAGAAAGCTTTAATAAAACCGGTTTTATTTTTCTGTCGAAATAATCTAAGGATGAATGCTTCTTGACATGATTCGATAATTTTATGGGCTTTGTAGACCAGAATGCCAGAAACATGATCAACAGGTACTCTGTCCGTTAACAAATCAACAACTAATATTCTGGACGTGATGAACAAAACTCCTCCTTGTAAATATGTTGATTGCCGTACATTAGCGTTCATTTCATTTGTGATGACTTTGGGTAAAGGTTTGATGCACTCTGCTTCCAGTTGTTCCAGAAAATAATCTTCATCTGAGGAGGATGTATTCAAAACCAAAACCAAACTTCCCTGATCTGAATAAACTTTCAAGAAGTTCATAAAAATTCTCTGAATTCCAAGACCTCTGGCTAGAATTGTTAGACCATCTTCATGGAAAGCATCCAAGAAAATCTGATTTTCATATTCCAGTAATGCCATGTTGTTGCTGGCTGTAACACTCATCTTTGAATCTCTTCTTCAATATCTGTAAAGTAGACAAGTCTCTGTATAAATACGCGCCAGGCATTCTGATCGTCTTCAATCGTAGTCTATCAATCCATAATTTAAAAACACCTCATCAAACACAATTTTTATTTATCCAATTAAAATGCTAGCTTACACATGTCAACAACGCAAAATATTAAAATGACGAAAGGAAACTTGTGTCAATGTGCAACAATGGCTATTACTGCCCCGTAAAACTTGATAGAATCTTCGTCATTTTTTTAATTAAGTCTGTCAAGTTTGGAATATCAACTTGATCATTATCGTACATGGACATTTAACCCAGAGATTTTATGGTTGTTATCATAGTGATGATTATGGACATTTAACCCAGAGATTTTATGGTTGTTATTATAGTGATGATTAATAAGCTGGCCCTTATCCTTGTCTGCGATATCACCTCGGTGGAAGCGGACGTAAAATACAACTAACACTAACTAACTTGTAATCCTAATAGACATGCCATAATAACATAATCTCACCCACACACAAAGTTAGCTTTACTGTTACACACAGATATACATGTATCAAAACGCCCCAATAATTCTATTAAAAATACTCAAAGCAACTGTTTATAGTGTTTTGACATTGCTGAGAATACCTTATTATCAAAAAGGGTTTTATAGTTTATACAGATTATGTACAAGCTTATGAACAAGGAAGGCAACTAATTTCCAAACATTGATTATTAACATAACACAACTGTTGAATCTATTCATAGAACATTGCTATTGACACGTTTAGTTCTAATCTAATGTCAGTGATGTAGGCCTACATAATATAATCCTTGTTAGTTAGTGCTAACCATTTCCAATCGTGGTTTAGCGCTTCCTAATCTAATGGAATATAGGCCTACAAATCAAGTGGGTTTATTGTTATCTTGGTTCTGGGCCTATATAATGCAGGCCATAGCTATATTAACTATGTCCCTGGTCTGTCTATATTTTTTGTGGGTTCCCATTTGTTGTGATGTGAAGTCCTGACTTTGGCTTTTCAATCAAAGAGAGGACAAAAATTTAAAGACAAAATGAGTTAAAATACGAAGAGAGAGGCAAACGACATATCATTTATTCACAACATGACATGGAGTATATAAACGTAACACAGCTAACTTACAATTTGTCTTTCTGATGTTGTTTCTTCCCCATTTTCAGGTATTTCAAAACAAAACAAACTGTGCTAGTTTTCAGACCGGAAGTCGAGACAATTTCAACAGGAAATGAAATTTTTGTTAGCTGAGCACAAAATTTAGTTTAGGGTGCTCATTTGCTATTTAAATATACTTTATAATATTACAATATTGGAAGTTTATCACATTACATATACAAACGATACAATCTAACTAATTGGATTAGTATCAAAACCGGAGAAGTAAATTTTCGTGGACAATGGGAGGCAACTCCAATTAAGATATTGGATCAGACCACAGCTGTTTTATACATTGACTTCAGTTTCATATTCATATTTCATGCATATAACTTTTGTATTTGATATTTTTGCCGACAGTGGGAAAAATATCTCACAATCATCTAATAAAAATCTTGAATGGGGTTTACCACCTAGATTTTTTAACAAATGACACTGTAGCTAGTAGGCCTACAATACTATCAAAATGCAGTGTTCACTATTTATGATCAGCACTACACTGCATTATACAGTTAGCCTTTTTAATGTTTAACCAGGGCATGTACTGTCCACAAATGACCTATATTTATACAATTTGCTCTCATGTATAAAAATTCCTTGATTTGCGCTTCAAAAATAATTAAAAATGTCTAACATTACATCTGTGGGCCCTATTTTTATATACCAAACTCATCAGTGGGCTCCCTAATTTCGACAAATGTTGAACAAGTTTATGGGTCTCTCACCATTGGTCACTTTTATGCCACTAGGGCAGAGCGGAATTAAAATATTGGGTTATACGAGTTAGTGTGAGGCCCCCAGAAAGACAGTTGTGTGTTATGAATCCAGAAATGTTTTACCCACCGGACATCCCTGGTATACTGTTAGGCCTAATGCACTTCTTTTTCCCATAGTATGTTTACTATAAATATATACATGTATATATATGGTTATTTAGAGTATTTAATATTTTGATGCAGTTTCATAAATGAAATAACTTTTCACATAATCTCTGGGGGTTCCCCAGCCTGCGGCAGCCCCTTGGCGACAGCACTTAAAGCCCATTCATTAATCCGACTCTTCACTTAGGTAAAAATCAGTAGCAAGGGGAGCCAGACTATCAGAGTAATGAAACAAAGATGTTAAAACCCCATTTCTCGCTCTCTCCCAATATTGAAATTTTTCTAGATGATTTATATTTAATCAAACTGAAAAAATGTATACTTTAAACATCAAAAACCCAACAGAAACAAATAAAAACAACAAATATTTAACTTTAAATTTATATCCTTTATATTGTTTAAAAACAAAGATAAGATCAGTATTTTTCTTCAAAATAAAAATGTAGGCATTTACCAAAAGAGCACAATATCATTTCTTAGGCTAAGCTGAACATTTTAAAACAATGACCATTCACCCACAAACAACTCTTTAAGCAACAGAAATGTTACTACTTCCCTTTGAAGGAAAAGAATTGTTTACTGAACAATTAATCCTAGAAGGGGTCTTCAAATGAATACATATGATTTTGTTATTGGCTATCAACAATTAAATCAAATCACTATGTTTAATACAATCCTTGAGAGCCATATAGGAAATGACTTATAATATAATATTCTAGAATACTTGGCATGGATACAATTACTATGATTAATACAATCCTTGAGAGGCATTTAGTAAATGACTTATAATATAAAATACTAGAATACTTAATGGTGTGGGTACATACAATCAATATGTTTATTACAAGATTTGACAAGTCGTTCAAACAATAACCTATAATTTATATTTCCCTACATGCAAAATCTTGTTGAAACATTGCAGTGTAATAGACATAGTAATTTTATCCATACTAAAGTATTCTAGTAATTTAATATCTTTTTTCATAACAATTTAAATAATATATACATGAAACTTTCAAAGGTATAACAACTGAATTTAAATACATGCATGAAATTTTTCAAAAGTATTTTTTAAAATATAGTTACCAGGTTTGCATTAGGAGACTCATAAATATAATTTGTAATTAAAAGAATGCACCTTGCTTCTTGCCTGACATAAATGCCACTAGAATTATTAGCTAAGTTATACTTTAGCACCAAGTTCTCTCATGTTTTCTTTTACCATGATTTAAATGTCTACTTGTTCCCTACACATTAATTACTTCTTTGATGTGCATTTAGTAATTGAAAAAATTTTAAAACACACAGTACAACTTTATGGATACACAATTCAAGATACATTATGGGAGATTAGATAAAGAGCTGGTAGTGCTCAGAATAATATTTAAAAACTAGATACTGTAAAGAGAATTTGCTGAAAATTTCAGTCAAATTGATCCACTATGAACCAAGATTCAAGTGATTGAATTTTTGGCCTAGCCTCGATCATCATTACTAAAGTCGGTAGGATAAAAAAAATAGTCTTGATTATCCATTTCATGATTAATTATGAATGGGTTGAACAGCAAATCGGAACCTAATCCAATAAAAAATCTCAGGCTAGCGATGCCATTGAGAGTTGATTATGGCCTGGATAAGTTAATTAATGTCTAATTAATAATTTAGATAACATCTCAGGCCTAAAGAAAGACCTTCAATAGGCAGATTTAGCTCTTGCATAATGTATGTTTAATGAATTTCTTAACATTATTGAAATAAATTTAACAATGAAATAAGTTATTCATTAACCATTAACACAATAATTATTATTAATATTATTTGATTAAATTTAACAATAAAATAAATTATTTATTTATAACCATTATATCTAATTGGTGGAAAATGATTTAATATAACTGGATCCTTGTAATGATCGGGGTGATACAAGCCCCAATTGGGCATTGGTATTTCATAGGGGAATGGTTTAGGGTAGCTTGTGTGACCTTTAAAACTTCTATTTGGTGGCATGGGCTTTAAGACATCCTTCATCTGTACATCCGGTTGAATGGGCACAAAATCATCCATATTTCTACTGGTTGGTTTCGACGGTTGTTCATAATGCCAGTTGATGTTCTTGTAATCAACTGAAACATTAAAATGAATAAATGAATAAAATAAATAAATATAATGAATGAATAAAGTAAATAAATAAAATAATGAATAAATTCAATGATTAAAATAAAATAATGAATAAATTCAATGATTAAAATAAAATGAATAGAATGAATAATAGTACTCTTTGGTATGTCCAAAATAAATATTTTCAAATATATATCTATTATTAATTATTGTTTTTACAAAATGTATTTTTCGTTGAAACTTTTCAATTTGTTACCTCTTCTTATTGTATCTCTACGCCTATTGTACCAGTCTGGATGTTGTGAAGTGGCTCTTTTTGCGTACCAATCTGGGTGTTCAGCGGACCATTTCCGCCATCCCACCTAAACAAAATATTTATAAAATAAGATGAGTTCCACATGAAAAATTAAAATTATTGCATTTTGGGGGTTAAAAATATGATGAAAAGATAAAACGTATTTTTTTTTTATAAATCTACGGTGATAATACTAGTAATGAAATACATTACTGTAATAGTATAGGCCTAGCCGCATTTGACCCCCCAAAATATAAAGAAAATATTAATTCTTTTGTTCACCTACCTGGGCTACATCTGGATGACTGCAGTGATAAGGATTCCATTCATGTAATTTGGGCTGCCTACAATATTAAGAATATTATAAGCATAAAAAGAAGTAAAATTAAAAGTACTGGTCCCAGTATTAATTTTCATTTATTATAGCATTTATTTTGTGTTATTATTTATTTATTTTTTTACTATGCAAACTTAGTTCTAGCCGTAAAATAAAAATACACAGTTCTCTCTAATTTTAACTAAATATATCTAGGCTATATTTCTTAAAACTTGTAACTAACATATAGACCTACCTACCCTAGGCTACGATGTAAGATGTGGAATTACTTACCATTCTTTAGGTAATTTTGCAGGTCTGGATAGAAACTGATATGTGGCTGCCATTTTTTGAAGCAGTGTTTACACTCTTTGGCACCCCGATAAAACAAATATTACCGTGAACTATGTATACAAGGGTCTAGTATTATTGACAACTAAACGGTAAATATAACAGTTATCTCAAAGTCGCTTATATCGTTAACAACTCGGGGTCAATCTGTATTATCTTCTTATTGAGTGAATTAAAACCCTTTAAATCCGATTACAAACGACTTGATCGATAGATATAATTTATCTATCAAGTACCGGAACGCATGTAATCACAAATTCATATCCATTTCCAAATTGTTCTTATTTTGGTACAAATTCGTGCACTCCCGTCGCCATATTGTATATATACGTCGTCATGGAGACATGTTGCTAACCGAGACAATTTCTAGTTTTAAATCATATTATTATTTAAAATTGCTACAATTTATCGCTTTAAACCATTTTAAATATATATTTTAAATTATGTATGAAGTTTGATTGATAATTAAGACATTTACATTGATTATAATCGAGATTGGCTTTCTATGTTGTCAGGGATATAAGCGACCATCTGACAATTGGCCGTTATTGTTGATATTGCCTGGTTATAATATTTTCCACATCTGTCATTGAAAGAGGAATAAAATCAAGATGGGGGATACACTTTTTTTCAAGAGTAACCAGTCACATTACCCATATTGGGTAAATGTGCCACCAACCGTTCCAAAATATCCTGTTCCACTAGAAATGTTCAGGTAAATTGTATTTAAAAATGGATTAATAATTTAGCCATGATAATATACTAAGTATTAAGCCCATTGAGAGGCCTATGTAATATATTTGACTAATTTATTGTTCACTTGTTTATAGACTAGTGCACTATTCTATTTTTATGGATACATGTATGTTAACTGGTAGCCAAACTGGGCGCTTTTCTTTTGTTACCTACGGCACAAAAAACCGTATTTTTTAATTTTTATTATCGAATTTTACTGACCTAATATTGTAATATTTTGTATTCCCCGATGGATAAGTTTATTGAATGTTTGTTTGTTTTTTTATATTTGTGGGGAGAGGGGCCGGGATTTCTTTTCGTGAATCCCACCCCAACCCCGCCACAAAGATGGGGTGGGTGGGGGTTAAAGCTCAATATATGAAAATAAAATATTGTATTAGCTCTAATTCAACGATTCGAATAACTTCGATTGTATGGCCAAATTATGTAGTCCAAGATTCATTGTAAAAGAAATTTGATAATCTAAATTATGAACTTTCAAAATAATATTTATTTGCTCTTTCATTTTTTACAGACGAGAATCGCCCGAGAAATATACAGCTAAATCTGGTCCAGATTCATGGCAGGTCAGTATTGAATTTGAATCTAAATCGGGATATTACCCGACGTTGATATTTTGCTTTTGTTTCCTTCTTGAAATACCTCTATATATTAACCAACACGATAATTATTTACCATTAAATTACTGTTACGGCGTTTAAGTCGGAAGTTGCATTTTATAAATATCCGATACAACTTTGGAGAAATAAGCGCCGGAAAGGTAATCGATACCGTTTTCAATCGGTGAATAATGTAAGGCCTGTCGGGAACGGAATGCACGTGAACATTAAAATTTATCAAAAACCTCAGCGCATTAAACTTTCGAAAACAGACAAAAACAGGGACTTTATCCTTCTGTTTTGTCCTCCATTACGCCAAATGAAAAATCTCATCAAAGATCCATTTAGAACTTTGTCCTGTATGGTGTTCATTTGATTAAAATTTTACAGTCAAAATATGAATAGAAAAATACCTTTGCAAATCACATCACGTTTGAAATTTAAGATCAACATTTTTTGAAAATTGACAGGGTTTATGTCACATTGGGTTGAGATCAGGGATCTTAATCGGTAGATTATAGTTGGCTTTAGTCACTTGATGTTTGTAAAAGTCGATTAATAAAACAATGAACCAGCCACTATGGTATCATAATCAAATCTACTTTGGGCTGAATAACAGCTGGTTAATTATTACTTGTTAATTTGGAAGGCAGTCAACTTGCTTGTCAGCTCAATAATAGTCACACCTTTGTGAGAATCGGCCACGTGGTTCATAATCCGATTAATTAGCACATTTAACACCCCCCCCCCCCCAAAAAAAAAACCCCAAAAAAACAAAAACAAAAAAGGACTTGCTGATTATTCATAACAAATCCAGTAAGTTACCTTTGTGAAAACAGGCCACTTGGGCAAATGAAGATGATCCAAGTAATTAGCCCATCGGTACGTAGCAAACACGCTCACGCGAACCGAACGCGGGCTGCTACGGTAAAATTGTGCCTTACGTGTAGTAGACCAGGTACACGTACGTCGTATCAAGCGGTCAATAAAAATGTGAAACCAGATGGTTTTCTACACGAAAATAAACTAATAACGATAATATCGCTTTTATACGATTTCGTGAATTTGAGAGTAGATAATGGACGGTATAACTTACTATAACTGATCAGAACGCCAGAATTTTACAGCGAAAGACTTTTAATTCTTTTTCCTTGTCTATTTCTTTTGATGTCTGAATCTTTTTATTTTTCTTAGAACTGGACTGATAAATGGAGTGATTACAGTAAAATTGGATACCATAGACCGCGTATTGAGGAACTTCCCAAAGGCGTTGTCGATACTCGGGATTCCAGATGTCGACCAATGATGTTCAGACCGGGACTTTCTTCCACGCCAAAATGGACCCGCGAGGGCAAAGATTGGCCTATAGATGAAAAGAAATATATGAAAAACGGCAGTCCGGCTACAGAAATAAAAAGAGCACAAGCTATTTATAGATTGAGTGACAGAGATGAAAAACTTTATCCATTTTCTAATTATATGACGTCAACTTATCGTCGTCCAGTGTATTCAGTTTTTGGACCCCTACAGAAGGATAAAGTTTATGGTTTGACCCATCAACATAATCGCCATGGATTTATGCCTTTTGAGGATTATTATTAAACAATTGTTTTATTAAAATAATGTGTGTGATATGAACATTTTATATTTTTGGTCTGTGCCGTGACCATGTATTTATTGTGCCCAGCCAAGCATATTGAAGAATTACTGAAATTTATAACACGCCCTAATGCCCAGGATGAAATAGCCCCAAAAAGTATTTTTCAGATCCTGAAATTTAACATGACATTGCAAGCCTATATCCCTTTCAATTCAAGTGATTCCAAATAAAATGTGAGTAAAACTTTGAATTGAGCAAAAATGATTTTATGGTGTTGGCAGTATAGAACCCTGGTACGGTAAATACATGTCTTAGTGTTGTGCATTCTCAACACTCCACACATTCTTTTTCAGTAAATCATGCAAACAGTTCGAAATATTTCTGAAGCTAGGTTTATTATTGACAGTACAAAAATTCTTGGAGTTTACAATATTTGATGAGTGAAATTTTTTTTTAAAAATAATCAAATACAAAATCATAATAAAACTAAAAAAATAAATGATTAAAAAAGAGTCTGTTTTTGTTTCCCAATGGTAAATTTCTCTATGTATGGACTTTATTATAGGGTCCATAGCCATAAGCGAATCCCAGGGGTTGAATGGAATTTGTGAAATGAAATAATAGACAGGCGACAATACTCCTTATGCATAATAGCATGGGATAGAAGTCATGACTTTCATAGGTACAAGCGTTATGGTTCACCCATCAAAGAGTATTTCACAGTTTTGAAGTATTTCACATTTATCAATATCCCAAGCATGTGCATGGTGACTCTTCAGTATTATTATTTTCTGCAAAGCACGCTGGCAAATAGTAATGGTCTGAATCCGTTTTCAATTAAATGGAGTTGCCTCCCATTAACCATAAAGTTTTCCCCGGGTGAAAGGGAAAGATAACTCTAATTTTAAAACCCTTTTAAGGCAAGGTTTGTTTTCTACAGTTTGTAACTACTATAAATCAATCAAATTAATTTAAATAGTTATTGGCACACTAATTGCAGAATTTCATTTAATTAACGATATAAAGTTTGTGACGTTTTGTTGATTACACAAGTTGACATTGGAATTTAATAGCCTTTAAAATCGGTGCATGATTTCAATGATTGACAGTTCACATCCGTGTTGAAATAATAACACTGAGCAGAGACACCATGCACATGCTTGGGATATTGATAAAAAAAAAAAATGAACAATTCTGAAGACCTTACCACTATATTTGGTGTTACCTTCTGTTGCATAAAGTCGATCCAATGCATTAAATATTCCAATGAATTATCTCTCTTTTAACATCCATCATGGCCCCCCTTAACATCCCGTGAAAAAGTCTCTATATATCTGTTGTCAGGTCACAGTTGAAATAAAAATGAAATGGGGTTTAACATCCTACTTTTTGTTGAAATAGAATGAAATGGGGTTTAATTAACACCCATCTTTTCTTCTCCGACTGGGCTAATGAAGATGTGCATACGCCACGCAGTGTGCTTTGAGAGAAATTTTCCCTGGATAGTGGTCTACCACCAACTCTTGATTCAAATTCCAACTGTTAAGGGTCCTTTTACATTCACACCAATGTGAGCATGTGGGACTCTGTTTAGTCAATGAAATCAACTGATATGCAGAACAGCATGGTGTTAATCACCATTTCATTTCATTTCAAGAATAGACACAAAAACCTTTACCAGAAGATTCCAAAAGAGTTAGTTCCCCTTGAAATACATGTAATCCTGAAATGAAATGAAATGGGGTTTAACGTCCTACTGTTCTGCGCCTATACTGGGCTAATGAAGACGGACATACGCCATACAGTGTGCTATGAAGGACATTTTGCCCGGGCAGTGGCACTATCGTCTATTCTTATATCGAATTCCAACTGCCTTGAGGGATCTTTTACGTGCATTCCAATGTAACACGGGACCTCGTTTTTTTCGTATCATCCGAAGGACTAGACAGCTGTCCTTGTCAGGCCCTCCGTTCTGCACCACTGACAAGGGGAAACCACGTCGGAAAATCCAGATGAACTTTCTCGGCCAATGCAGGGATCGAACACCTGACCTCCAGGCTAGCGAGCCAGCGTCTTACCCACTTAGCCACCGTGATCCCCTGAACAAAACAGATTTATATTTTGTTTCTATTCCAGTTATAAACATATAACAGTGAAAAAGATAAAACCACACCATGTTTGTAGATTCAGTTAAAAGTACAAAGTTTTTGCGATGCTGTGTGTAAAATAAAAAAAAATATAATGTCTGTGTGGACAGATTTTGAGAGAGAAGTCGTTATCGATGGTGAAAATAAAATGGAAGAGAAGGAGAATGTTAGTTTAGATAGAAGATTATTTGTTGGGAATATCGGATATAGAGTAAGTATACCCAACTCAAGTTTAATATAGAGCGAATATACCCAACTCATGTTTAATAAATCTTTTTTTTCCTGGGGTATATTTACATCTTACTAGGTATGGTACATCTATCTGGGGTACATGTATGATACATCTATCTCTACTTGGGGTATGGTGCATCTGTCTCTACTTGGGGTATGATACATCTATCTCTACTTGGGGTATGGTGCATCTGTCTCTACTTGGGGTATGATACATCTATCTCTACTTGGGGTATGGTGCATCTATCTCTACTTGGGGTATGATACATCTATCTCTACTTGGGGTATGGTGCATATATATCTGCTTGGGGTATGATACATCTATCTCTACTTGGGGTATGGTGCATCTGTCTCTACTTGGGGTATGATACATCTATCTCTACTTGGGGTATGGTGCATCTATCTCTACTTGGGGTATGATACATCTATCTCTACTTGGGGTATGGTGCATCTATCTCTACTTGGGGTATGATACATCTATCTCTACTTGGGGTATGGTGCATCTGTCTCTACTTGGGGTATGATACATCTATCTCTACTTGGGGTATGATACATCTATCTCTACTTGGGGTATGATACATCTATCTCTACTTGGGGTATGGTGCATATATATCTGCTTGGGGTATGGTGCATCTATCTCTACTTGGGGTATGGTGCATATATATCTGCTTGGGGTATGGTGCATCTATCTCTACTTGGGGTATGATACATCTCTATCTCTGCTTGGGGTATGATACATCTCTATCTCTGCTTGGGGTATGATACATCTATCTCTACTTGGGGTATGGTGCATATATCTTTACTTGGGGTAAAGTACAAAGTATAGTCTACTTTATTTCTTGTGTTCAATAAATCTGTGTTATACTAAAGTTTTGATAAAGTATGTCAAAGTCACAATGTTTTATTTTTATTTTAGACTAGCGAAAAAGAACTTAAAGATTTTTTTCAGAAGTTTGGTAGGGTGAACAGACTTCATCTACCTAAAGACCATTACAGAAAGTTACCAAGAGGGTAAGAATATATCGAATGTACTTTTCATCAAACTGATATAATACATTATTAATTAGGTGTAGAGTGTTTTGACATTTCTACAGTGTGTGGTTTCGATTTTCTTTGGAGGTCCCATGTTCGATCCCTGCATTGGCCAAGACATTTCATCAGGATTTTCTGGTTCCTCCTTTGAAGGGAAAGGTATAGTCGTTAGGATGGTATGAAAAACCAAGGTCCTGTTTACACATTAGCGTGCACGTAAAAGATCCCTTGGCAGTTGGAATCGATATAAGAGTAGACTGTAGCGCCGCTGTCCTGGAAAAATTTCTCTCATGGCATGCCTGTCTTCATTAGCCCAGTCGGAGCAGAACAGGAGGACGTTAAACCCCATTTCAATTCATTTCATTTGTCTTCTTACTCTAAAACTCATGCCCGGTTGGAGCTGACGTGCCATAAAACCCTGTTTCATTCATTCATTTTAAAACTCATGATGGATTTAAGTTGAATTTAGAACCTATAAATTTGTTTAAATGAAGTTGATTTAGGCTGTGGCGTCAAGGCAAGGGCAGCTTTTATGGGAACATTTTCAAATATTAATTATTTCAACAGATCATGATATGCTTATTTATAATGTTTCTGAAAATGGGTTATTGTCAGTTTATTTAAGCAAGAACTTTCATTTTCTCACTAGTATAAGCCAAATATTCAATTCCCTTGTGCGTCTTGTAAATTTCAGGTTTGCTTTTGTAACATTTTCTACAGCAGAAGAAGCTCAGATGTGTTTACAGGCTGAAGATGAAAGACTGGTTCTACAAGGCAGGTCAGTATATAGTAGATTACTGTAGATTTATTAAAGATACATTATGGGAGATTAGATAAAGAGCTGGCAGTTCTCACTATAATAGTTAAAAACTAGATGACATCGAGAGTTGATTATGGCCTGGATAAGTTAATTAATGTCTAATTAATAATTTAGATAACATTTCAGCCCTAAGAAAGACCTGCAATAGGCAGATTTAGCTTTTGCATAATATATGTTTAACTGGCTCTACAATACAGGTCTATATAGTAGATTACTGTTAGTAGATTTATTAACTGGGTTGTACGGCTGAATGATCGTAAGGTCTATCAAGTGGTGTGATTTTCGATTCCAAGTTTGTATGTGACAGGAAGTAGGGTCATCTGCCTAAAATTTAGATGTTAAGGTCTATCATTGAGTGAAGTGGCGTGAAGTTTGTATCTGACAAGGAGTACAGGCGTCTGCCCAACTTCGTGTGTTTTCTTTCTCTCCAGATTGTTGGATGTTAATTAGTCTGGTAGATGTAGAACAGTAAAACTGCCCATACACGTTCAAATTTTTCGTCAATTAAAGATACATTATGGGAGATTCGATAACGAGTTGGCAGTTCTCACTATAATAGTTAAAAACTAGATAACGTAAAGACAATTTGCTGAAAATTTCATTCAAATTGATCCACTATGAACAGAAAACTAAGCGAATGAAATTTCTGCCTAGCCTCGGTCAACATTACTAAAGTCAGTACGATAAACAGCATAGTCTCGATTATCTTTTAATCGTTTAATAGAGAAGGAAAGTTATGCAGTAAATAGGCTCACAATCCACTTAAGATCGCGGGCTAGCGAGGCCATCTAGAGTTGATTATGGCCTGGATAAGTTAATTAATGTCTAATTGATAATTTAGATAACATTTCAGGCCTAAAGAAAGACTTGTAATAAGCAGATTTTGCTCTTGCATAATGCATGTTTAATTGATGTCAATTAATTGACGAAATTGACCTTACCCACACACGATCAATGTTTTTGCCTCAGTTTTCATACTGATCGAAATCTTTGAGATGAGAGCATCTCTGGCACTAGCACACACGGTCTATTTAAAGGACGAGCCGTCAATAGATATCAAAGGAACTTTGATCCGTCAATTAAATGATTCAATTAAATTGTTTCAATTGATTTACCGTCAATGTCCTCCATACACATTCAATTTCTTTGTCAATCAATTAATTGACGAAGAAATTGAAGTGTATGGGCCGCTTAAGTCATTTATGTCATCAATGTAGCCAATATTGTAGAACATCCTATTAAAGGGACAATAACACTCTTGCTGACTTGACAGCTCCAGAAAATAAAAAATAGCCTTATTCTAAGTACTAGATGTGTTAGTGTCCTACCTGTTGTGTAAATTATCCATTAAATCCTATTTTACTTGTCCAGAGGGTTCAAAAATATTTTTAAATCCAAGTCACATTTGAAAAGCTTTACATGTGTTAAATTAGGTGTGTTAAGATGAAATTTGTATCATCAATTAATTGGAATATTGTACAATAGTACAATTTGTTGACTAGAATAAAGATTGGGACATATCTTTCAGTTACAACAAGAGTGGTATTGAGCCTTTAAATAATGTGTATTTATATATATTTGTAGATTACTTCGAGTTCATATGGCTGAACAATCTAAACGAGTGAACACAAGAAGATATGAAAATAACAATAATAATCATGACCAACAGGTAATTCATCATTTTTCTCCATATATTTTATTATTTTGATATATAAAAAAATTATCTGAAAATAACTAAAAAAAACAATTTAATGACGTTTAGTATTTATTTTGGTTATTGAATGGAGAAATGAAAATGGGGGTTAAAGGACAACGGTGGTCTTCTTTGATTGGCATTTAGTAATAGAACATATTAACACAAGGTTCAATTTTATGGATACACAATTACTGAGTTTAATACTAAGCGACGTTTCGACAAGGATACTCGCATCATTTTTTTTTTGCTTGATAAAGAAGAGAGTATCCTTGTCGAAACGTCGCTTAGTATTAAACTCAGTAATTGTGTATCCATAAAATTGTACCTTGTGTATCCATTATTACAAATGTGATAGAACTGGTTAAATGTGTTCCAAATATAATTTTAACACAGAAATCATCGCTATGATAGATGTGATAATGACTGACACCAACGTTGTCCTTTAACGTTTTACTTTTAATGAAGTTTGCAGTGAGTTAAATTTTGCCCTGTAAGCCAAGCTACGACCTACTCTTATTTTCATTGGGGGGGTTGGATGGCTGAATGGTTAGCGTGCGCGCGCTGTATCATAAAGTCTGTTGTATGTGACGAGGAGTAGGGTCGCCTGTCCAACCTCGTGGGTTTTCTCCGGGTCCTCCGGTTTCTTCCCACTGCTAAAGACCCCTATGCGCAAGCAAATTATTGAAATAAAATTAAACCATATGTTAGTCCCAAAATGACCTAGTTTGTGTCGAGTGGACGTTAAACCCCATTTCTCTCTCTCTCTCTTATTTTCATTTCCAACTGGGAGGAATCTTTAAACAATATGTACGTGGAACCTTGCCGAACAACTAGACATGGGGAAACCAGGCTGCACAATCCCTAGAAACTTTCTCATCTAACACCAGGATTCAACCTGGGACCTCCTGATTGATAAGGCAGCACCATACTCACTGAGCCACCATGGAATGGAGAGAGATGGGGTTTAATGTCCATTTGACACAAACTAGGTTATTTCGGGACTAACATATGGTTCAATTTTATTTCAATAATTCGCTTTTGTGTAGGGATCTCTAGCAGTGGGAGGAAACTGGATAACCCAGAGAAAATCCACAAGGAAGGACAGACGACCCTACTCCTTGTCACATACAACCGGAGAATCAAAACCACGCCAGTTGATTCAACGACAGCCCTTATGATACAATGTGTACTCGCTAACCATTCGGCCATCCCCCACCCCACCCCCATACAGTTTTCTGCATCTATTATTGTTAAACATTTGTCAATCTAGCTACAGATTTTAGATACACCCAAACTATTAATCTCAGAGTGAGATGGTTCAAACCATTTATTAAATGTTTTGACATATTTTTTAAAAAGGTGCTTGTATCAGATAGTACTGAAGTTACAGATCTTGGAACAGCAAAAGAAATGCCAGTATTTAACATAAATATACCAGATGAATTATGGGAAAAGATTTTTTCTTTTCTTCCTCTTCGTGATAGGATCCGAATAGAACGAGGTAAAAACTTCATATTGACAACTAAAATAAACAATATTTTTATTTTATTAAATAATTATTATTTCCAAGGAATTCAAATAGAAAAATGATAAAATTAATGTCTCATAAAATTGAGAGTGTAAAGTTATCATGATGAGACCTTTGTATATACCCACACTGAAATTTGGTTGTATCCTTTGGCATACGGTCCATCTGTTGTCCCTGATGTCTTTTGAACTTAAGCAAGCTACAATTATTTTCAGATCTTTTTAAAATTTATTGTGGTTTTTCCCGGAATTTAAATCAATATGTATGGTAAATGGAGACTAAGTAATGACAAATACATTCTGAAAAATGACCCCCCCCCCCCCTCCAAATCAAATTAGGTGAACTATTTGTTAGTTCCGAAATGACCTAGTTTGTGTCGAGTGGACGTTAAACCCTATTTCTCTCTCTCTCTGTCTTATTTCGGTTGTCCCTAATGTGTTTTTGAACTCTCTGCAAGCTACAATTACTATCAGATCTTTTTAAAATTCATTGTGGTCTTTTATTTACTGTGGTCGTTGATATTCTAGACTTACTTCACACAAAAAATTTGTGCAGTGTGTGATGACCTCGGGAGCAGGTCCCACTTAATGAAAGGGTTAATGTTAATTTTAGACTTGTTTATGTTTAGTTTGTCATAGGTGGAAGAAATTGGCCTTGAGACTCTGGAAAAGACAGAAATCACTGGATTTTTACAATACTTTCAGAAGATTTGAAAGTAGGTTTTTCCTTGAATTTAAATTTATGACTTTATTATGTATGGAATCTGTTTAACATTTCTTATAATAGGTTCATTATGCATATTATAATCTGGGTATCAGCCGAGCATAACATTTGGAGAATTTCAAGCCCATTTCTAATTTTAATGGATAATGCCTGTGGAGCTGACAAGCACAGTTTCTAGTTTATGAAAGACTGTAGACTACAAGTACAATTATTGGCATGTGTCTATCCGCAAAATTCACACAATATATATGTGATATTCACACAATTTATGTGCAATATTCACTTAAAAATACATTTCCTCGAAAGTGTTTATCAATAAAGTATTTTTCAATGGAGAGAAAGTAATGACAAATACGTTCTGAAAAATGCCCCCACTTCAATCAAATGAGGTGACAAACATGGCTTCTAAAAATAGATATTTTATAGCTTGGGGTATCTCCTCGTGAATACAAAGTTTTAAGAGGGATTTGATGCAAATTTTTGATATATTAATATGTTTTTAGTCCAAATATATCATCAAATCACACAGTTTGTATGCTGGAATGTATCTTTAATTTCTCAATTTATATGCAACATTTTACGTTCAATATTAACTTTATCTATGTGCAGTATTCACATTATCTATGTGCAGTATTCATACAATTTAAATGTAATAGTCACACAGTTTATGTGTAAAATTCACACAGGTCAAGTGTAAAATTTACACAGTTGAAGTGTAAAATTCACACAGTTTGTGTAAAATTCACACAGTTGAAGTGTAAAATTGACACAGTTGAAGTGTAAAATTGACACAGTTGAAGTGTAAAATTCACACAGTTTGTGTAAAATTCACACAGTTGAAGCGTAAAATTCACTCAGTTGAAGTCTAAAATTCACACAATTTAAGTGTAAACTTCACACTGTTGAATGTTGAAGTGTAAAATTCACACATTTAAAAGTGAAGGAACAGGTAGTTATAAAACCAAGATCCATTCCATTGTGTATAAAATGGTGTATTATTTTTCTTTGGTATATGTATTACAGGTTTAACAGATAAAATGTTAAATTCAATATTAAAAAGATGTGGACCGATATTAAAATCACTTGACTTATCTTCCTCTCCAAGACTTTTAACAGATTATTCTATGCAGATAATCAGTAAGTAACTATGTATCGTATTAATGGATATTGAGATCCACTGTGTCTGAGTGAGATGGCTGAGTTCAATAACCAGAAGATTTGGGTTCAATCCCAGCGTTGGCCAAGCGAGAAACTTCACAGAGAGAGAGAAATGGGGTTTAACGTCCACTCGACACAGACTAGGTCATTTCGGGACTAACATATGGGTTAATTTTATTTCAATAATTCGCTTGCGCGTAGGGGTCTTTAGCAGTGGGAGGAAACCGGAGGACCCGGAGAAAACCCACGAGGTTGGACAGGCAACTCTACTCCTTGTCACGTACAACCGGGGATTCGAAACCACGCCAGTTGACTCAATGACAGGCCTCGTGATACAGCGCGCGCGTGCTAACCATTCGGCCATCCAACCCCCAGAGAAACTTCAGTGCCAAGTCTGACAAGGATAAAGTGTTGAGACACCCCCCCCCCCCCCCCCCCGCCTCCCAAGGTCCTATGTTTATCACTGGCAGCATATAAAAGATCACCTAAGTTGGAAATCAAATTATTAACAAAATGTCCCTCTTAGCAAGCTGCATGGTGTATGCCAGTGGTGGGCAAACTATGGCCCGCAAACCGAATCCGGCCCGTGAGGCATTGTCATCCGGCCCGTCAAACCCTTAAACTACATCTGAAAATTGAGGAGTAATTTTATCTCTAAATGAGGTGCATACAGTGAATGACCCATGTGCTGTACTTGATAACGAAAGGTAAATTTTACCTTCACATTATTTTTATAAGATAAAAGTAAAGTTTTATCCAGACACCATATAATACAGCTTGGGACACCGGTCTCCATTTAAGTTGTTTCAAAACGCATCACATATATTGAATTTGTTGCTCAGCCCTAAGGTAGAGGATTTTAAGGGATTTTAACACAAAAATAAGCATTTTTTTTTTCCAAAATATAATCGGGATTGGCCCTTTAATCAATTGAAGCCTAGCAGCAGACAGATTAAAGTGTTAAAATTTATCCATAGCGTATATAGCCATCTATTCATGATTTTATATATTAGATGTATTTGTACTAATAATGTATTTAGATGTTTCAAAAATAATGTATTGTTTTTATATTTTAGATAAGTATTGTCCGAGTCTAGAGAAGTTAGATTTATCAGGAGTAGATGCTACTAATATTTCTATACGTGATTTAACTCAAGATCTTCACACATTAAAGGTCAGATTTCCTATTATTCCTTGTTATATTACGGGGGGTTGGATGGCCAAATGGTTAGCACGCGCGCGCTGTATCATACGGTCTGTCATTGAGTCAACTGGCGGGGTTTCGATTCCCCGGTTGTACGTGACAAGGAGTATGGTTGCCTGTCCAACCTCGTGGGTTTTCTCCGGGTCCTCCGGTTTCCTCCCACTGCTAAAGACCCCTATGCGCAAGCGAATTATTGAAATAAAAATAAACCACATGTTAGTCCCGAAATGACCTAGTTTGTGTCGAGTGGATGTTAAACCCCATTTCTCTCTCTCTCTCCTCACCTGACTTGAGACAGTCTTCACACATGTAAATTAAGGGAAAAAAATCATCCCATAATAAATATGTTGTTAATGAATAAAGTTATATTTTATTTCAGTGGGTAAGATTACAGAGATGTTTGTATATTGGAGAAAAGGGGTAAGTTTTATTATTTAAACAATTTAAAGGGACAATGACACTCTTGCTGGCTTGACAGCTCCAGAAAATAAATAATAGCCTTATTCTAAGTACTAGATGTGTTAGTGTCCTACCTGTTGTATAAATTATCCATTAAATCCTATTTTACTTGTCCAAAGGCTTCAAAAATATTTTTAAATCCAAGTCAGATTTGAAAAGCTTTACGTCAAGCTTTTCAAATCATTTAGTTGAATTTTTCCAATTTTTTAAATTAGGTGTGTTAAGATAAAATTTGTATCATCAATTAATTGGAATATTGTAAGATAGTACAATTTGTTGACCAGAATAAAGATTGGGACATATTATTCAGTTACAACAAGAGTGGTATTGAGCCTTTATATATATAGTGTTATAAAAAATTATGTACAGGTCACAATTCTATGGAATACAATTACTGCTTATTACTAAGCCTAATTTATATTTGGATGTTACTGGTAATATTAAACTTACAGGTCACGTACAAGCCTAGTCGAAACGTCGCTCAGTAATAAGCAGTAATTGTATTTCAGAGAATTGTGACATTCCAGTTCAGTTACTGAATGACATTAAAACAATTGCTAAAAAAATGTGGTTTCACTGAACTATGAGAAAATGAAATTTGTAATTGACACTATACTTAAACCTGTGGACTATGTTTATTTTGGTTCGGACCATATTGAGAAGTAGATGGCATAGAATCTTACATTGTGGTTGTGTGAATTTATTTCCCTGTTAGCTAAATCTGTCTTCATTGAATGTTACATTAATTAGTACTGATGAATGCCATGCCTGGAGCTTGAATTTAGAATGACATATGATGAGCCAGGCTGTTCAGCGGGGTTGGGATGGCCTAGTTGTCTAGAGTGTCGCACTTCGATCTCTAGCTGGCCTGTCACCTCTGGCTTGCGGTTGTGGTTGTGATCCCTGGTGTGAGCGTATGTGTTTTGGAGATAGAGGCGCCTTCTTAACCTTGTGGGTTTACCCCAAATTTCCCCCATAGTACATTGTATACCAATCTAATTAAAATACATCTATATTTCGTTTCGTTTTTTTATACTTTCGATGGCCTACACTACATGAAGATCTGACAAGTTATAGTCATAGGTCACATCAGGGGTCAAAAGAACGACTTATGACCCTATGACGTCAGACATTTGATTAACCAATCAGATATGATGTTACTAGTGGATTACCCACAGTTCCGTGCAAAACATGCCTAAAGCTTGCCGTAACAGACCATTTCATTGGCTTATCCCTGACACTATTCAGAACACGAGTTAAATAATAACTCTTCCAGATCCAAGTGTAGTAAAGACAAGTAAAACGAAATTTTGAACTATAATAACGAAACGAAATAGGATCTGTGTTTTAACCAGATTGACTGTATACTGTATGGTGCATACCTGTCTCCATTAGACTGATGCACAAAAGTAGGATGTTAAACCCCATTTCATTGCATTGCATTTCTTTAATGAATAAAGTTCAGTAGCGTTTGGTCACTATCTCAAATCACCTTTTCTCCTGTCAGTTCATGTCCCGTCGTCGTGACAACCTACAAAGTGTATCAAACATTGACGTATGCAATAATCACGATCATGAATGTTTGTTGTATATTTGGGAGCCATGGTGGCTCGGTGGTTAAGACTCTGGCTCGCTAGCCTGGAGGTCGGGTGTTCGATCCCTGCATTGGGCGAGAAAGTTCATCTGGATTTTCCGACGTGGTTTTCCCTTGTCAGTGGTGCAGAACGGAGGGCCTGACAAGCAGAGCTGTCTAGTTTTTCTGATGAGACGAAAAACCGAGGTCCCGTGTATACATTGGAATGCACGTAAAAGATCCCTTGGCAGTTGGAATTCGATATAAAAGAAGGCGATAGTGCCGCTGCCCGGGCAAAATTTCCCTCATAGCACACTGTATGGCGTATGCCTGTCTTCATTAGCCCAGTATAGGAGCAGAACAGTAGGACGTCAAACCCCATTTCATTTCATTTCAATTCATTTTTTGTTGTATATTTGAACAGATTATGGTGGTTGTTACATAATAATAAAGATCTAGAATATTTAGATGTTACTGGTAATATTAAACTTACAGGTCAGGTAGGTCAATTTTAATCTGATTAAAACACAGATCCTATTTCGTTTCGTTTTTTATAGTTCAAAGTTTCGTTTTGCTTGTCTTTACTACACTAGGATCTGCAAGAGTTGTTATATTACTGCCGTTTTGGTTGAAGTGAGGGATTAGCCAATGAAATGGTCTGTTGCAGCGAGTTCTTGGTGTGTCATGCATGGAACTGTGGGTAAAACAATAGAAACGTCAATGCTGATTTATTGATTAATGTCTGATGTCATAGGGTCAAAAGCCGCTCATACAACCCCTGACACGACCTTCCAGTAAAACTTGTCAGATCTACATGTAGTAGAGGCCATCTTTAAAGTATAAAAAACCGAAACGAAATATACATCTTTATCTTAATCAGATAAACCGACCGACCCATTAAAAAACCTGCCGACTCAATTTTTTTTTTTAGTGTCAAGGGAAATAAAAAAAATTTTTGTTCAACGAGCGACCGTTCAAAATATTCTAAGCCAACCGGATTCGTGAAAATGGCTTTATTATTTGTTGCTATAAATGGATATAAATGTCATCGTTCTTTGAATCTGCATTTACCAATCGGAATAAGTGAGTACTGTACAGCGAACGATTATTAAGAACTGTCATACTGTTGACGCGAGATTGCTAACTGACGTGAAAATTGAGACTACAGGTCTAAGTTTTCATCGCAAGTTCTTTCCCTTGAATTGAACAAAATGGCCTCCTACGCTATTATTTTATTTAGCATAGAACGATTAAAAAGTCCATTTGCCCCCTAAGAGAATATTTAAATCATAATCTAGCCTCTGATACATTTTAAACAATTATTCAAGAATTCCATCCACCAATCTATTCATGCTTCATGTTCCTCGGCGCTGACTCAACCTAACATAAAATTGAAGATTTTCACACAGAATATTATGCTACAGTACATCTACAAGATCTAACAATGTAACATTAAAAAAAAAAAAAAAAAAAAAAAAAAACCCTACCTACCGACCCTACCCTATTTTCTATCTGTTACAGGAAACAGAACCCATTTTTTTTTGCCTAATATTAAACTTACAGGTGAACTTATATATAGATGATGCCAGTAATATTAAACTTACAGGTGAACTTATATATAGATGATGCCAGTAATATTAAACTTACAGGTGAACTTATATATAGATGATGCCAGTAATATTAAACTTACAATAGAGATGGGTAAACTTAGGTACATGTAGGTAAACTAAATATACAAAATACATTTAAATAAATTATTTGTTTGATCGTACCATAAGTGAAATGAAATGGGGTTTAACGTCCTACTGCTCTGCTTCTTAACTGGGCTAATGAAGACGGGCATACACCATACAGTGTGCTATGAGGGAAATTTTGCCCGGGCAGCGGCACTACGGCCTACTCTTATATCAAATTCCAACTGTCAAGGGATCTTTTATTGACAATCAAAACCAATATCTAGATACCAATCACAATTCTATGGTTAATATATAATTTTATTTTTAGTGTTTCCATATGATTGGTCCGAAAGTTAAAATCATGGTACTGAAAGAATGTAAAAAGGTAGGTTGAAATCTTCATTGTTTTTCAGTAGAAATATCCTTTTATCCAAAGTGTAATGGAAATTGTCCTATACCCATAAAGGGTAATGGAAATCGTCATATACGGAAATGAAATGAAATGGAGTTTAACGTCCTACTGTTCTGCTCCTAACCTGGGCTAATGAAGACGGACATACGCCATACAGTGTGCTATGAGGGAAATTTTGCCCGGACAGCGGCACTACGACCTACTCTTATATCAAATTCCAACTGCCAAGGGATCTTTTACGTGCACGCCAATGTGTACACGGGACCTCGGTTTTTCGTCCCATCTGAACGACTAGACAGCTTTCCTTGTCAGCCCCTCCGTCCTGCATCACTGACAAGGGAGAACCACGCCGGAAAATCTGGATGAACTTTCTCGGCCAATGCAGGGATCGAACACCCGACCTCCAGGCTAGCGAGCTAGCGTCTTACCCACTTAGCCACGTGATCCCCATCGTCATATACCCATAAAGGGTAATGGAAATGGAAATCGTCATATACCCATAAAGGGTAATGGAAATGGAAATCGTCATATACCCATAAAGGTTAATGGAAATCATCACATACCCATAAAGGGTAATAGAAATCGACCTATACCCATAAAGGGTAATGGAAATCGTTCTATACCCATAAAGGGTAATGGAAATCATCCTATACCCATAAAGGGTAATGGAAATCATTCCATACCTGTAACCAACATTTAATGAAAATATTCCTACACTCATAACCATATTGGCATATTGTAATGAAAATTTCCTTATACCTATAACCAACTTGTAATGAAAATATTCCTTCACTCATAACCAATGATTGTAATGGAACTCGCCCTATACCCACAACCAAGGTGTAATGAATATCGTCTAATACCTATAACCAAAGTATATATATATTACCTAAACTGAAATTAGTATGGGCATAGGTAGTGTTAGATTACTCGAGATGACCTATGATATCTTCTATATTTATAGTTATGTGATGTTGGTATTGAGAAGATTAAAGATAGATGTGTTGATTTAGAGGAGTTATATATAACAGATTGTTGTTTATTAACCAGTAAATCTATACTTACAATAACACAGGTTGTACAGTTATCTCCCTTTATTCTCCATTGTCCCCCAGTTAGATCTATTTGATAAGGCCAACTTCAAGTTTGATCAAAGGTCACGAGACGTAAACAGGGCTAGCACAAGCTAATCCCAACCCTAACCCTGGACCTAGCCCCAATGCTCACCCAAAGCCTAACCTACAATCTCACCAATAAGCACGTGCCCTAACCTTATTTAAATCTTAGCGACCTTGACTAAAATTGAGCTGGCCATAACAAATAAATTAAGCCATTGTCCCCTCCAAAATTGAAATTTCATGGTTTCTGATTAGTCGAACAATAGTGTCTAATCAATATAACCATACTCTAATTTTCAATATCCTTAAAATGTTTCGCTTTAAATTTCATTGGGCTGCGAATTAATATATTCTTCGTCGCATTAGAATACCTTCACAGTGGCTAAAAATATTACCTATCAAGTCGTTATTCCAGCAAATCGTTATGAAATCCTGCTTGTATATCAATTCTAATCCAATTCAATGATGGATCCCCCCCCCCCCACTAGCACTGATCACTATTAGTGGTACACCTAATCCTAGCTATCAGGGCCACAGTGACTAAGTGAGTAAGGTTGTTGGCTCACTATCCAGGAGGTCACGGGTCAGATCAGTGTTGGCAAAATAAATTCCTCAGGATTTTTCAAGACGTTGATTGCTAGGATGAAAAACCAAGCTCCAGTAGACACGTTGGAGTGTACGTAGAATAACCCTTGACAGTTGAAGGGTAGGTAGAAACTTGGATGTGTATCATACAATGGTACAACTGCTCCTGTAGCTATGATCTTACTCTCAAATCACCTGAACTTGAATTCTATTAGAGATGGCTGTAAAAAAAACAAACTCTAACAACTGAAGCTGAACCATTGCTTGTTGATGCACAAAATAAATTCTGAATATTTCCTTTTTTCAGAGTTTTTCCCATTTGAGAATTTTACACTGCGGTGGTTCATTACATGATGGTATGTTATGAGTAACATTTTTTTACTCTTTTCATTTCATATTTAAGGAATCGGGGTGGGGGATGCCTGGCCGAATGGTCTAAGACATGCACTATAGATCATAAGGTCTCTCATTGAGTCAAGTGGAGTGGATTCAATTCCCCGCATGTACGTGATAAGAAGTGGCATTTCTCTGAGTTTTCTGTTTTCCTCCCACAGCTAAAGACCTCTACAAGCAAGCGAATTATGGAAATAAAGTTGAACCATATGTTGGTCCCGATTTGATCTAGTTTGTGTAGAATTGACGTTAAACCCCATTTCTCTCTTTTCATATTTAACAAATGGTTATGTTATATCTATTAGAACATAAAATGACTACCCCTTGTCAGTGATACAGGATGGAGGGCCTGACAAGGACAGCTGTCTAGTCGTTCGGATGGGACAAAAAAACGAGGTGCTGTGTACAAATTGGCATGCACGTAAAAGATTCCTTGACAGTTGTAATTCAATATAGGAGTAGGCTGTAGTGTCACTGTCTGGGGAAACTTTCCCTCATAGCACACTGTATGGCGTATGTCCGTCTTCATTAGCCCAGTTCGGAGCAGAACAGTAGACCGTTAAACACCATTTCATTTCATTTACATAAAAACGGCATTAGCCACATCAATTCTCTATAAAACAATAGTCTGTAGTGTGTAGAATTATCTAAAATCCATACGTTGATGGTCAAGCAGTGTAGATTGTACAAAAGCTGTGTCAGATATACATAATTAACTTCTTTAGACAGCATTAAGTACCGTTGATAAACTGAAAATGCCGCTGTCCGGTCAAAATTCCTCTGATAGCATGCTGTGAGTCATTTTCCTGTCTTCCTTAGCCTGGTCGGTGCAGAAACCCCCTTTTATTCCACATTTCATTACCCCAGTCCTGACCCCAACAGCATACTATTCAACAATTTGACTAGTAAAGCAGGTCATTTTGAAGTTGGTATGCTTGCCTTCATTAGCCCAGTTGATGCAGAAAAGTAGGATGTGAACCTTATTTCATTTCAAGTTTCAAAATTAAAAAAATAAATGAAAATTACTCAGTATACAAGAAAGTTCCCAGAACATTTTAATTTTATGCTTTTTATAAGATGTCATTTCACCATTTTAATTTAAATTGTTCAAAATATTTATTTTATTTTTATTTATAGTAACAGAAGAAACATGGACTCAACTTCAACATTTAAAATTATTGGTAAGTATACTTAAATTATTACATTGATGTCCTTTATAAAGTGAAATACTGTCATTTATTGATAGGAAAACATAGAAATAAAAGAAACATAACTTTATGGATAACAATCAATGGTACCTCGACTAGAATGTTTAGGGTTTGAATTCCTTCATCGGTCAAGAATATGCTTGGCATTTTTCAGCAGTACCACCTGTAGGGCTGAAAAGGATGGGATTAAAAACCTGGGGAGTGCCGGTAAAGAAACTTTGACAGTGTTGGAATTCTATAAAGAGTATGCAGAATGTAACTGTCCTGGCAGTATTCTCCTCCATATTACACATGGGATCATAGGAAAAAAAACAACCATATGTTAGTCTCAAAATGACTGGCAAATTGTGTTAACGAGATGTTAAACTCCATTCATATCAGTAGCGTGTTGATAAAAAGTAATTTATTATGTATTTCTTTGTTATAGGAAGAGTTAAATTTAAGTCAGAATTGTGGTTTAACAGATGAAGCTGTGGTTGCCATAGCTACAGGTTGTTATAATCTCAGGTAAATCTTGCGCTTTAAAAATATTACGGGAACAATTTTATATTGAATACAACTAAAGATTAACATTCAGCTAAAGGCATCTGATCAGTCCATAAAGGTTTTGGGAATTTTTAGGTGAATAAAAAGTAAAGATCTTGATGTTGTAAATATCATTGGTCAATGTTTCCGAGATAATACAGCATGTTGCTCTTTTTTCAACAGTGATTTAAATTATAACATTATTTTAGATTATAACTTTATTTTAAATTATAACATTATTTTAGATTATAACTTTATTTTAAATTATAACATTATTTTAAATTATATCTTTATTTTAAAATAATATTATTTTAAATTATAACTTTATTTTAAATTATAACTTTATTTATCGTTTATTTTTACTATGATTGTTTTTTTGGTTTATTTTTTTTAGGGTTTTAGATTTAAGCGGATGTCATCGTTGTTTAACAGATGAAGGTATTCAATCTCTGTCCTTATTAGGAAATCTAACCAAACTTAATATCAGCTATTTATATCAGGTAGGTACAAATACATTTTTACCCTGTGGTTCTAGCACCGTATAGGATCTCTTCCCTTCTTGTGGACTGGACAGTATGTGCGGGACCAGAATATGATCAGAATCGGTCATTTATGAACGATAACTGGATGAAATGATATTATTATTTGTAACTATGTTTAGTAGGGTGATAGTAGGAGATCAATTCAATTTTGTTATAGTCTGTTTTATTTAATTTAATCCATACCTTTAAAATAGTATTCAGTGAAAATTTGCTGTACTTAAATTAACTAGTTGTCAAGATATCACTGCCTAAAAGGCAATTAGGAAATACATTTGTAACTTGGAGAAGAGGGCATACTTTTCAGTCAATTTCTACACATGACAATACCGATGAGGGCTGAGAAGAAACAGCCGCTGACAACGGAAAATGTCTTTAGTTGTTGAATTGGATAAAAAAAACTGAGTTTGATTGTATATATTGGCAGTTATTATTTCATAGAAGAAAAGACAGACATAGTACTGCTATTTATTACTTGATATTGTGGGGTTGGATGGCCGAATGGTTAGCACGTGCGCTGTATCATAAGGTCAACTGGCGTGGTTTCAATTCCCTGGTTGTACGTGACAAGCAGTGGGGTCGTCTGTGCAACCTCATGGATTTTCTCCAGGCCCTTCGGTTTCCTCCCACTGCTAAAGACCCCTACGAATTAATGAAATAAAATTGAACCATAGGTTAGTCCCAAATGGCCTAGTTTGTGTTGAGTGGATGTTAAACCCCATTTCTCTCTCTCTATTACTTGATATTATTATGAAGTTCAATTTGTATATTTCAGATAACGGACGTCAGTTTAAATCATATATCAACGACTGGTAAATTACAACAACTGATAGTCCGAGCTTGTTCGGATATTACTGATACAGGTAAGATAACTGATATTACTGATACAGGTAAGATAACTGATATTACTGATACAGGTAAGATAACTGATATTACTGATACAGGTAAGATAGATTGTTCTGATATTACTGATTGTTCTGATATTACTGATACAGGTAAGATAAATCATTCTGATATTACTGATACAGATATAAAAATATCTTTGTTTCACCAAACCCGACCCACAATCGAGGAGAAGGGTCGGTAGGTCGGTTTTTTTTTCAGATTTTTTTTTTTAAGAGCTAATTTGATAGCTTGATAATTTTCCAGGTGCAAACATTTGTCTTCTTTTATTGGCAAACAAATCAATGACATCGGGATTTTTCGTGATGCACGACTCGCACACGAATTGCCACAAACTCACGTTTGAAACTCCCTCAACACGGTTTTAACGATCGTGCGGGTTGTGCATTCATTTTTCTAGAAAACAGATATTGAAAATATCGTCGTCATGTTTAAAACGACGCCCCACAGACATAGAGGCAGAATCATTTCGTGAGAATGGACGTGCTTTCGTCTGCAACCATTTTGTTGAGAAGCGACACCTATGACGCTTTCGTCTTGATCAACCAGTTTCAATAATGAATCAAACCATAGCCATAGTAAAGGGAAATAACTCTCGTGATATATTTCAGGTTGACACACAAAATAAAATAAAAAGATCGCGGAAAAGTGCAATAAAATAATTTAAGTCGGGGGTGGTTTTAGTTAGTCGGTCGCGTTAGGCGAAACAAAGATATTTTTAAGGTCAGCCTAAGATAGATTTCTTTCTGGTGAATAGGAGCCACGGTGGCTAAGTGGGTAAGATGCTGGCTTGCTAGCCTGGAGGTTGGGGGTTCGATCCCTGATTTGGCCGAGATAGTTCATCAGGATTTTCCGATGTGGTTTCCCCTTGTCAGTGGTGCAGGACAAGTGGTGCAGGGCCTGACAAGGACAGCTGTCCAGTAATTTGGATGAGTGAAAAAGGTCCTGTATACACATTGGCTTGCATGTAAAAGATCCCTTGGCAGTTGGAATTCGATATAAGAGTAGGCCATAGCACTGCTATCCGGGCAGAATTTCCCTCATAACACACTGAATAGCATATGCCCGTCTTCATAAGCCCAGTCAGAGCAGAACAGTAGGACGTTAAACCCCATTTCATTTCATTTTATTACAGGAGTAGAAGATATAGTATTTAACTGTCCACAGATACAACTAATAGATGTCTCTGGTTGTATACAGATCACCAACAAATTAATACAAACAGTTATCTCCCTTACACATGATAATACTCACCAACTTCTACTCAATGTTGGAGGTTTGTTCATTTCACTTAATCTCACTTCAATGATGTAACGTCTATTTATTTTAAGGTGGTTGAAAAATGTTTCCACTGAAACAAGGCTGGATAAAAGTTTTTTATTAAATAAACTTGACAAAATCTGCTACAACTAGGAATATATTGTTTTTGTTAGCTATTTCTAAAATATTACTTAAACATACATTATGAAAGAGCTAAATCTGCCTATTTCATGTCTTTCTTTAGGCTTGAAATGTTATTTAAATTATTAATTAGACATTAATTAACTTATCCAGACCATAATCAACTCTCGATGTCATCGCTAGTCTGCAATATTTACTGGATTAGAACCCGGTCTGCTGCTTCTGATTAAATCAAAAAATGGATAATCGAGACTTTGTCTTTTATCATACAGACTTTAGTAAGGATGATCGAGGCTAGCAAGCTAGTACCTCTATTCAGAGTGGAGCCATTTGACTGAAATTTTCAGCATTTTCTATTTATGTTACCGGTATCTTTTTTTTAATTATTACAGCAAGAACAGTCAACTCTTTATAATCTCCCATAATGGCCCTTTAAGTCTGATGACTTCAAAATAAACATGTGGAAAGATATAGGATTCCAACATCTTTCAAAGTTTTATTTTATATTTCAGGAACATGTGTTGTCAATGAAGAGTTACCACCCTTACATACATCTCTATCAGTATCTCTACAAGATTATTCTAGTTATTATCTACGTCCAGATAAACATTTATTATTACCAGGTTATATTATTATATATATATTACACAAACTTTATCTCCACACAAGAGGGGTTGGATGGCCGAATGGTTAGCACATGCGCGTTGTATCATAAGGTCATTGAGTCAAATAGCGTGGTTTTGATTCCCCGGTTATACATGACAAGGAGTAGGGTCACCTGTCCAACCTCGTGGGTTTCTCTGGGTCCTCCGGTTTCCTCCCACTGCTAAAAGACCCTACAAGCAAGCGAATTTTTGAAATAAAATTGAACCATGTGTTAGTCCCGAAATGACCTAGTTTGTATCGAGTGGATGTTAAACCCCATTTCTCTCTATCTCCACCCAAAATAATGTTTTTTACGGCACTGGACTAGGGTGTGCCTTTTTATTTAAAGCCTGGTCTTCACTTGACATGGATAGTGCCAGCACGTCTGACAATAATAGTTTGACTGGTCCTTTGGAACAGTGTGGTGTGCACGTAAAGGAACCCTTGACAGTGGACATTGAAAGTGGACAGAAACACTGCTGTTGGGGCAAAATCCCCCTTCCCACCCCCCCACCCACCCCCCCTCTCTCTGTTGCACTTGTAACCAGTAACCACAGAATTTAAATTAAAATCTTAAAATGACGGAAGTATTGTGTAGTCGAGATATTTAAGCCCATTCCATTCCTTGTGTTTATGTACGATATATCAAGTATTTAAAGATACATTATGGGAGATTTTTATAGAGAGTTGGCCATTCTTGCTATAACAGTTAAAAAATAGATGATGAAAGAAGAATATATTGAAAATTTCAGTCAAATTACTTTATTCTGAACATAGTTATCACCAGTGTAATTTTTGACTAGAAATGGGATTGAATTCCATCTTCACCGATTCTTAGTATGGCCGATCGTTTGATTGACAGGCGTTAACTCCACCTACATAATCTCTGCTGTCTTTGGTCTGCTGTCATATCCGAATTTGTGTTTTACCTTTTTGGATTTTTATAACAATTGGACAAAAGGAGTGAGAGGGTAAATTTTCATTCTTACTTGTATTTTGGGCATGCATTAAATCAATGGAATATAGGACATAATATTATAATATAATTATGATAAATCTATAGGTATACACCAGTGGCGTTGTGCCTATTGGGGAAATAAAAATATTTTTATTGATATTATTAAGACAGAAGACCTGTCCGTCTGTATTAGTCATCACACGGTCTCCAGGAATTGTATAATTTGTCATTATCTGTGTTTAGTTTATTGCACTTTAAATAGTTTAGATGTCATTTGTTAAGGCATCGCTCAACATCAATGTAACTGTTAATCCAAACCATCCGTGGGTCTACAGAGTTGATTTTGTGCTTGTTGTGTAAATAAAGATCTAATTTATAATTTCTATGACATCCGAAGCCTAAATAAAGACTTGCAATAATCAGATTTAGCTCTTGCATAATGTATGTTTAAATATTAATGTCTTTCATCCATCTGTGGTAGTCGCTCGTCAATTTACTTCTCATAACACTTGTCTTAAGACACAGAACAAACCAGGATGTTGTTATTGCCCATGAATGGTCATCTGTCTGCAACCTACAGAATTTTTGTGCTACATTGATTTTGCAGCTGGGTAAAGTGTCTTTTAGGAGGACACAAGGAATAAATACCACATGTTACTGTATGGTTACAAATCTGGCTCACCTTACAGATTTTTAAGATGTAATATCTGAAAGTTTTTAAGATGTAATATTAGGAAGTTTTTAGGATGTTATATTTGGATGTTTTTAAAGATGTGATATTTGGAAGTTTTGAAGATATTATATCTGGAAGTTTTAAGGTATAATATCTGAAATATTTTAAGATGTAATATATGAAAGTTTTTAAGATGTAATATCTGAAAGTTTTTAAGATGTAATATCTGAAAGTTTTTAAGATGTAATATCTGAAAGTTTTTAAGATGTAATATCTGAAAGTTTTTAAGATGTAATATCTTGATTGTAGACCCTGAAGAAGATGATGATGATGATGTGAAGGAAGATACACCATGGTATGGTCAACCTCAAGCATCAGGTAATTTTAGATATTTTATTAATATCTTTTATCAAAGCTTATGTCTAGTGTGGCTACTATTGAATGTGACTTTAGTACTTTGAAGTATCCTTAAATATGTATGCTGGTATGCATTATGGTTCTCTATATTCTAAACATTGTCACTCTGTAGAATATATTATTATGCATGGCAATAACACATCCTTAATGAACTCTATATTGTAAACCTGCTGAATACTGGTAGATATTGAATGGAGCCATGGTGGCTAGCTAGGCTGGTAAGAAGTTGACTCGCTAACTTGGAGGTCAGGTGTTTGATCCCTGCATTGGCTGAGAAAGTTCATTGTGATTTTTTGGCGTGGATCCACCTTGTCAGTGTTGCAGGACAAAGGGCGTGGCAAGGGACAATGTATAGTCGTTCGGATGGTATGAAAAAGCCAAGGTTCCCGTAAACACATTGGCATGCAGCTAAAAGATCCCTTGGCATTTAGAATTCAATATAAGAGCAGGCCACTGTATGTCATATACCCATCTTGACTAGCCCAGTCGGAGCAGAACAGTAGGACATTAAACCACAGTTTGTTTCATTTTTGGTAGATATTGTGTAACACCAGTTGTAACAATGTGATCTATGAAAATTGTTCTTTGTAGGTGTTATGGTTGCCGCTGGTTACGAAGAGAATATTTGGGAGGAAGAAGATTGTGACGATCAGTTTGATGACATCACAGATGAATTCCTGGATAACGACGATTGTCTAGCAGCAGAAAGATGGGAAATGTCGTAGCTGATAATTATATCCATTAGTTTAGATGGAGACCAGGATGTATATCTTGTAATGTTACGAACAATGATTTGTATGAAAGCTAATTGTATGACTCGAAATGTTATAAACAGTATCACTCAAAATGTTATAAACAGTAGCACTCAAAATGTTATAAACAGTATCACTCAAAATGTTATAAACAGTATCACTCGAAATATTATATGACTCGAAATGTTATAAACAATATGACTTGACATATTATATGACTCGAAATGTTATAAACAGTATGACTCGAAATATTATATGACTCAGAATGTTATAAACAGTATGACTCGAAATATTATAAACAGTATGACTCGAAATGTTATAAACAGTGTGACTCGACATATTATATGACTCGAAATGTTATAAACAGTATGACTCGAAATATTATATGACTCAGAATGTTATAAACAGTATGACTCGAAATATTATAAACTGTATGACTCGAAATGTTATAAACAGTATGACTCGAAATGTTATAAACAGTATGACTCGAAATGTTATAAACAGTATTACTCGAAATGAGAGAAATAGTCTAACTAAGAGTAATTGGTTGGAACTAGTCCTATTATTAACAGAAATTGGCTGGAATGCTAGGTGTATGACTAATAAAGGTATAGGCAGTAATTGCAGAGTGCTAACTGTATGACTTGTATTATGATATTATTGGTTGGAATGCTAGCTGTACCATTATAAACAGTTATTGCAGAGTGCTAACTGTATGACTCATATATGATATTATTGGATGAAATGCTATAAACTGTTCTAAACAGTTATTGGTTGGAATGCTAGCTGTATGGCCTTGTACCATTATAAATAGTTATTGGTTGGAATGCTAGCTGTATGACCTTGAACTGTTATAAACAGTTATTGGTTGGAATGCTAGTTGTATGACCTTGTACTGTTATACCATTATAAACAGTTATTGGTTGGAATGCTAGATATTGGTCTTGTACGGTTATAAACAGTTATTGGTTGGAATGCTAAATACACTAACGTTCATGATTTAATTGAGAGCATAAATACATGTAACTAGGGACCTGCTTTACACAGCCAATGAAAAGAAGGCTGCTTTATACTGAAACTTGCCTTGTATAAATTGAAACTACAGTGAAATTGTATTGATGTAATTGTATCACTGTTTTTAAGCTCATTTATTTTAGAGCCTGTTTTAATATTTGTTTTACATTATTTTACCAGTATTAGTAATAACCGGTAATGTAATCATGCTTTCAGTATGTAAATATTGTTATAGTTTGTTTATCTTTTAATATGTAATTGAAACCAGCAAGAATAGTCTGGATTCTACACATTTACAGTATCTGTCGGTTTTCTAAGTTGTCAGAAAAAAGACAAAGTATGCTGAACAAAATGACAGGCATCAGAGGCCTGTGTCTGACCAAGCCTGAATCTGTACTTGACAATATCTGTGACAGGTGACTTATTTCCCAATTAAGATTCTACACTTTTATCTGTCTTTTTATAAACTATCTAGTCATTTGGATGGGATGAAAAACGGGTGTATTAAAAATACTAATAAAAACATAGAAGAAAGACAGATATGTACTGGACAATATGACAGGCATCAGAGGAATTCGTACCTGACATGGATTGAATCTGTACCGGACAATGTCTATGATAGGTGCCTTAAATTCAGGCTTGTTTATTAGACCTAGAGTAAGGCCAAGATGACAAATAACTTGACCAAATGTTTATATGATAATGCCTCTGAAAGTCTCTTGAGTCACATGCAAACTACAATATTTTGTGAAAGTTGAATCTCTAATAAATGAATATAATCAGTCTATTAAAGATACATTGTGAGAGATTCGGTAACGAGTTGGCAGTTCTCACTATAATAGTTAAAAACTAGATAATGTAAAGGGAATTTGCCGAAAATTTCATTCAAATTGATCCACTATGAACCGAGAACTAAGCGACTGAAATTCCCATAAGCCTCGGTCATCATTACTAAAGTCAGTACGATAAACAGCATAGTCTCTATTATCCATTTAATCGTTTAATCGAGAAGGAAAGTTATGCAGTAAAAACGCTTACAATCCACTAAAGATCGCAGGCTAGCGCTGCCATCTAGAGTTGATTATGGTCTGGATAGGTTAATTAATGTCTAATTAATAATTTAGATAAGATTTCAGGCCTAAAGAAAGACCTGAAATAGACAGATTTAGCTCTTGCATAATGTATGTTTAAATGATGCACACAGAGACTTTCATGTAATGATTTTATTTGAATTTTGATTTCATGTTAAATAATGTTTAAAGCTAATTATTTTTATAAGATTTTAATTATGAACAAGGTTTATAAAACTAGTCAATTGGATGGGACATATAATACTATTAAGGCCATACGAAAAAAAATATTTGGGTTCTTCCAAACAATCTGATGCAGTAATTTTGTTCTTTATTTTGTCATGTGGTTAAATGGCATTCCAGGTTGGGTTTTTTTCAAGTGCATGCAGAAGCATGAGAACCAAATATTTTTTTTTATACAGCCTAATATGTTTTTGTCATTTTAATAAGCAGATATGTTATGCCTCATTGTTTATGTTATGTTTTTGGATCAGAACAGGTCCCCAAGCACTATTCTTCTTCTTCTTCTTGTTCTATTTTGGTTATTCATGTTCTGATTCTGTTATTCATTTAACGTTGTTACTGATAGTATTTTCTTGTTCTGGTTCAATGTCTAGTGGTCCGCTATCCTGATTAGTTGCCTGTTGTCAGTTTAATACTGAATGATTTGCATCATGTGCCTGGGCCTGTGGGTTGAGGACTTTGATGATGAAGTTATTCTGGCACAGATTTTTTATATATATATATATATATATGTGACTAAATCATGTTGTATTTTGATATTTAATGGACTTATTTGGGTAAGAATTCAAACATACCCCAATTCGTCAATAGGCAGACGAAGGGACTTATCGTCAATAGGTTACAGTAGGAAGATAAGTCACTTCGTCTGCCTATTGACGAATTGTACATTAGTTACCGAGAAACTAAATGTGATTAATTTCGAACATTATCCTGAGCTACTGACAAAACTAGACGGCCTATGTATATCACAAGATAATGTAACCGTTCAAATCATGTAGAAATAATACGATTTGGAATAAAAAAAAAATTATGAACTCGCATCGAAAATTATCTTTCTTTTTAACAAAACTGATAAAACTAGATTGCCTATGTAAATCACTCACAAGACATTGTAAACATAAAAAATCATGTAGAAATAATACCAATTGAAAAGAAAGAGAATTGACCAGTTGCTTTAATTTGTTTTCCAGTTGCCTTTTCACTTATTTTAAGGCATTGGGCCATGAATTTTTTATGTTAATAAATTGTTTGATACCATATACGTGAAACCTTGTAGATTTCTGTGTTTTTCAAAGGAAAGTTTAAAGGGCAATTCCTCTCGTCTTGGATTGAATGAAATATTGTGTTGACAAGATGATCAACTCAGAGAAAGGTCTGGGTAATAAAATGTGCAATGCAATTACAGATTCTTACGCAGTTCCCAGCTCGGATCCACTGTGGGGGATCATTGTGGCTAAGCGGATAAGACGCTGGCCCACTAGCATGGAGGTCGGGTGTTCGATCCCTGTATTGGCCGAGAAAGTTCATCCAGATTTTCTGACGTGATTCCCCCTTGTCAATGATGCAGGACGAAGGACCTGACATGAACAGCTGTCTAGTCGTTCGGATGGGAAAAAAACGAGATCCTGTGAACACATTGGCATGCACGTAAAAGATCCCTTGACAGTTTGAATTCGATATCTGTCCGGGCAAAATTTCCCTCATAGCACACTGTATGGCGTATACCCGTATTCATTAGTCCAGTTCGGAGCAGACCAGTAGAACGCTAAACCCCATTTCATTTCATTTCATTTCTAATCCACTGTATCTTATGCTATCACTCAATTTTTTTCACTGACACTTGAGTAAGGTACTGGCTCTCTAACAGGGAGATCTCGGGCTCATTCCCGATGTTGGCCTAGACAGTTCCTAAGGATTTTTCGGCATGTTTTCCCATTGACAGGATGATGGACGGCCTGGATAGGAACAGAGAGAGAGAGAAATGGGGTTTAACGTCCACTCGACACAAACTAGGTCATTTCGGGACTAACATATGGTTTAATTTTATTTCAATAATTCGCTTGCGCATAGGGGTCTTTAGCAGTGGGAGAAAACCGGAGGACCCGGAGAAAACCCACAAGGTTGGACAGGCGACCCTACTCCTTGTCACGTACAACCGGGGATTCGAAACCAAGCCAGTCGACTCAATGACAGACTTTATGATACAGCGCGCGCGCTAACCATTCAGCCATCCAACCCCCCTGGATAGGAACAAGAGTCTAGTCATTCGTATGGTATGAAAAACCGAGATCCTATTTACCGGTACACGTAAAAGAATCTTTCATTAGCCTAGTTGGTGCTGGATACTAAGACGTTATCTCATTTAAGTTGGCACGCTATAATATCTATTAGACGTCCGACTGGTGTGATAAGGAAACAAAACTAGAATTATTGTTTTTAAACTGATTTTATATAAATGTTTGAAAGTGAAATATTTACACAATTTTAAAACAGAGAAACAGAAAAAGATTAGCACCACAAAAAAAAAAGAAAAAGATTTTCAGAGGAAAAAACAAACAATTTAAAATGGTGTTTATAACATAGATCGAAAAAGAAAAGAACAAGAAACAATTAAGGAATTGAGTGAAAAAAATCTAGAAAAAAATTCAGATCTAGATTTGAATCAAACGAAATGTATTGATTTCATTTTCAATTGTGTGTACAAAGACAGTATAAATCTAATAAACATTTTATTATAGAGCTGGAATTTCAACCAAGTGGTTGCTCATACAATCTGATTAAAAAACAGATCTATATTTCGTTTTGTTTTTTTATACTACACTACATTAAGATCTGACCAGTTGTACAAGCGGCTTTTGATTCTATGACATCAGACATTGATTAATCAATCAGTGTTGACGTTTCTATTGGTTTACCCACAGTTCCGTGCATCGCACGCCAAGAACTCGCCATAACAGACTGTTTCATTGGCTAATCCCTTACTTCATCCAGAACGTCGGTAATATAACAACTCTTCCAGATCCTTGTGTAATAAAGACAAGTAAAACAAAATTTTGAACTATAAAAAACGAAACGAAATAGGATCTGTGTTTTAATCTGATTGGTTGCTCATAGTAAATACCGGTAGATCATATTTGACTTTTTTTTTTTTTTCAAAATCGAAATGTGTACAGTAGGCCTACTTTCCAGAGATGGAAAAGTCTTTTATCAGATACATGTACAACACATTTTGAAATATTATGACATTCGTAAAATATTTAAATAAATATGTTCAAATTAGAATAATATATATACATGCATTTATTATATGCTGCTGTTATATGAGCAAATATTATTATGGACATATTCCAGGAAATAATTTAGAGTGAGATTTCTAAAGCCTGCTTATAAAATAATCTTAAAAATTTAATTGTATAAAATGACAACCATAAAGTGTCTGTACCATTATCTATATATGGTTGTATCCGAGGGGTGCAACATCAGACAATGTGTATTCAATATTTTTGCTTCAAATGTGTCTTTATTATATAATTTTATCTGCCAAAATATGTAATATTGCCAATCAGCAATGTCATATTTTGTGGTATTAACCTTTCCATATATCTGCTAAAATATGTAATATTGCCAATCAGCAATGTCATATTTTGTGGTATAAACCTTTCCATATAACTTTCATTGTCTGTGTGATATTACATGAATGGTGTATTATATGTAGGAACATTACCAAATTGCACACCCTCCAAATACAGAGTTGTTTCCCTTCCCTAAAAATACCAAATTGGATCTCCTTTAAAAAATAAAATCACAATTTTAAAAATTTCTATTCTTATATTATTTCGACAATAAAATATTTGAGAATAAAATAAAATTAAGCTAGCAGTGAATGAATTATCTACCATAATTTACTTCAAATGAAATAAAAATAAAAATATTTAATGACACCAACGATGAGACCATGATTTACAACAAAACAATTAAACAAATGATCACCTCCTTTAACCAACATTAAGTTTAACATTATATAAAACAAAAAACATGTCGACGGCAAGATAATAAAAATTATGTTGAATTGAAAGCTAATTAATTAATTTGACACATTTATCAGTAAAACACTAAAACTATACATAGATTAACAATTACTGGTTTATTAACATGCAACGTTTCGACAATGATATTCAATTCTTAAACATACATTATGCAAGAGCTAAATCTGCCTATTGTAGGTCTTTCTTTGGGTCTGAGATGTCATATAAACTATTAATTAGATATTTATTAACATGACAAGCCCATAATTATCTCTCGATGCCATCGGATGAGTCCAATTTTCATTAGAATTGAATCTGATCTGTCGCTCAACGCTCAACAGCTGTTGATGATTAAACATAAAAATGGATGATCAAGACTTTGTTTATTATCGTAACAATGGTAACAATGACAATCAAGGCTACAGTGTTTTTGAAATTACCGGAAGTATTTCTCGGCTCAGGGTGAAGTAATTTGAAATTTTCAGCATATTCCCATTATATTATCTATTTTTTAACTATTATAGTGAGAACTGTCAGCTCTTTATCTAATCTTCCATAATGTATGTTTAATAAACCTGTGATTGTTTAATACCATCAATAGTTTTACTGTGATACTGTCCAATTAACCAATTAATAAATGTCTTTGAAAGAAGAACATTTATCAATCTGTGTATATTAGCAATTTAAATAAGTTATTTTGACTGTGGTAATTTTCCAATCAGAAATTAAATTTTGAATTTTTATTAATGTAGTTTACGCATGATTTTGTATTTACAGCTAGATATTTTAATCTGGTGAACGAGAAAGTCACTATTATAATCTATTCTATATCTAAGCATTGGTGTATTTACGAGACTATCAGTTTTAAATCTATCCCAGCTATAGATGACAATTTACACAAGTGTATATTTTTAATTTTTTTTTTTTTTCTTCATCTTGAGACATTCATAACTTGTTCTGAAAAATATGAAAATAACAGGTATTATAAGTTGAAATGTCCTGCGTGGTTTCCACTTGTCAGTGGTGCAGGACAGAGGATCTGCGAAGGACAGCTGTCTAGTCGTACACATTAGCATGCACGGAAAAGATCCCTTGGCAGTTGGAATTCGATATAAGAGTAGGCCGTAGAGCCGCTGTCCAGGCAAAATTTCCCTCATAGCACACTGTATGGTGTTTGACCGTCTTCATTAGCCCAGTCGAAGCAAAAAAGTAGGACGTTAAATACCATTTCATTTCATTTATATAAGTTGAAATGAATGCCTACATGCGCTACTAACAAGGGCTATCTCTTTAAATTGTTTGAAGGCCTATCCCCTGAAGTTGAAATGAATGCCTACATGAGCTACTAACAAAGGCTATCTCTTATTGTTTGAAGGCCTATCCTCCGAAGTTTGACTAACCAACCCAAGATTTCGCTATTTCATGGGGCTAAATAAAGTATCCATATATTTTGTTAATAGGAAGCATTATTCATAATTATACGGAAATCCTGATCAGACACGGAACACTAAAACATGAAAATCGTGATATACTGGTAATGAAGATTGATTTTCATCAATCCTGATTAACCAGTCTGATCACTATACTTGTACGTCTGAAGCAAGTCATTTATAACAGAAGGTATAACTTGTGGTTAAGGTATTGACAGACCCTATGATACACCATGCACGGGCTAACCATTCGGCCATCTACCCCCCCCCCCCCTATGGTTATGTGTATCGTTTATTTTAAAAGCTTTCTGCTCATTGAAATAGCCATTAAACCCTGAAAGCCTGATAATTCTACGACAGTAACATGCTCAATCTATTTTTGATGATTTATTCTCTTGTCTTGATAATACACCCCAGTTGTATAGTTGTTCGGATGGGACCAAAAATCAAGGTCCCATGTACACATTGGTATTCATGTAAAAGAACCCGTGGCGGTTGGAATTCTATATAAGAGTGGGCTGTAGCATTTCATTTCACGTTTAACTAACCTAAATTAACTCTCATCTGTCTGATAGCTGGCACCTGACGTCACTTCTGTTACACGTTGCGCAAGTTCCTCTCTTTTAGCTGCAGGTAATGAGTAAGAGTCAATGTTTGAGGATGCTGAAATGTTAATAGGTCAACGGTCAAACACATGCAAGGTTAAAGGTTAATAGGGTCAACATGTATATATATATAATCCATAATCTATACCTCTGCTAATCCCTTTGATATTGTTAATATTGTTAATATACTAAATACAGGATTCTAACTAATTTTTGTTCTTAATACTAGCAAGCCATTTACAACAAGACACCAGTGCCTCTTTAGATCGCTTGTCCTTTAAGATCCACATTTTTTCACCAATTTAAAGTCTTTGAAGGACTGATGAATACCCTGCCAACAGGCCTGGAAATAACGGTTTTAGATGTACCTGACAAAATGTCAGGCACTAATGAAATAGTACCTGACATTTTCAACTTAGTGCCAGACATGTATTAATAATATCAATAAAAAAGACAAATCAGTGCCGGAAAAAATGACTGGCACCAGAGCCTGAATCTGTGCCTGACATTGTTTGTGACAGGTGCCTTATTTCCACAATGATACATTTATAGGGGATACTTGGCCTGGATTATTGAGGGGGAGGGATTGACTCGGCTGTATCCACGGGCCCTAATATTAAATAAGCCCCAAATTACTTCAAACAAATGTTTGTACGATTTAAATCTATTGAGTTTAAGTGTGATTGAGTATGACCAGAATATGACCCCTCTTCATTGTTGATTCAAAGGTCCCATGCAAGCTTAATCCAGCCCTGGGAGATACAACATAATTCCTACATGTACTAAGGACACAGTTCTATGCAATACAATTACTGTTTACTATCATTTAATTTAAAAAGACTTGAGAATCATCCCTCAGTAATAAATAATACCACTGTATCATTGCTTGATAAAGAGAGAGAGAGAAATGGGGTTTAACATTAACTAGATACAAACTAGGCCATTTCGGGACTAACATATCGTTAAATTATATTTCAACAATTGGCTTGCTGTACATATTGGGGTCTTTATCAGTGGAAGAAAACAGAGGATCCAGAGAAAAAACCTGGGTTTGGACAGGTCATCCTATTCCTTGTCACGTACAAGCAGGGAATAGAAACCACACCACCTGCTTCGATGACAGATCTTATTATGCAATGCAGACGTGTTAACCCCCCCCCCCCCAACTTGATAAAAACTAGAGAGGCCTACATTCTACATTGCTCGGCAATCAATAGTAATCGTATTCTATAGAACTATGTAGTATATATTTCCAGTGAAATAACTAAAAGCCATTGATCCAGCATCCATAGGATTGATGGCCAGGTGACAAACAGATCTATATCTACGTACAAGCAGTTAGTTATATTGAACAACACACGGTCTTAAACAACTTACAGATCGAGAAATACTGACTGACAAAAGATGGAAACAAATTTGTGAGGACGAGAAAAATCCAAACTGAGTATATTTGCAAATAATTTTGGGGTTTGATTTTGTTAAAATCTTTGATCGTTATTTGAGGGATTTGGAATCCCTTTCCAACTACAAAATGAAATGAAATGGGGTTAAATATCCTACCTATAAAATTGTACAAGTTATCTCTTAAAGGGTTCGGTCTAAATATTAAGGCCACTTCCAGATGTCGTCAATGTCACAAGATGTAAACATGCTAGCGCTAACCCTAACCCTAGCGTCACTGTTAAGTCTTTTCATGGGCCCCTTTTTAATCTGGCCTCAATTTCACAAAATTTACTCAAAATTGTTCGCCTTATTTTAACTAAATTATAGCCCTTTATGAAACTATTGTTGTTTTAATGTATCAAATACATCAATAAGAAACTATGTGCAAAGTTTTGTGTTTCTGGATTAAAGATATTTCTCATTAACAATAATTGAAAGTTGAGTAAATTCTTAATTTAAGTCTTAATACATGTAAGTCTGAGAATGTTTTGTGAACTCGGGGCCTGATTGAATTCAAGTTGGGAGATTAGGTGTATCTTCCTTTCATATTTTAATTTTGTTTGACTGATTAAAATATTCAAGTACATCTTAACATGGATTATGTTATGTATTCTCTGATAAATGCAAATGACAATCAGGCCCTTTAATTGTAAAATGTTTTAGGGCTTAAAGATGCATTATGTAAGAGCTAAATCTGCCTATTACAGGTCTTTCTTCTGGCTTCAAATGTTATATAAACTATTATTTAGACATTTATTCCCATGACAAGCCTTTAATCAAGACCATCGGATGGCTGAGATTTAAATGGATTTTAAGGATTAAAAGGATAACCCTAGTACCATTGGTCTAGTACCATTGCTATGATAATAAACAATCAATGCTACATATTCCAACACTCATAACTTCACCCATAATAAATCAATTTTAATGAATTTTTCAATATATTCATTTTTCATTACCGGTATCTATTTTTGAACTACATGTATTATATAGCAAAACCAGTCAGCTCTTTATCTTAATCTTACATAATGCATCTTTAAATGTAAAATATCTTAGGGATTAAAGATACATTATGGAAGATTAGATAAAGAGCTGGCAGTTCTCACTATAATAGTAAAAACATAGATAATGGAAAGGGAATATTCTGAAAATTTCAGTTAGATTGCTCCATTCTCAACCAAGATATTAGCGATCATCAATGGGCGTTGAGCAGCAGATGAAATTCAAATCTAGTGAAAATCTGACACATAATATGGCTTCAAGAGTTGATTAAAGTCATTTTATGTAAATAAATGTCTAATTAATAATTTATATAACATTTCAGGCCTAAAAAAGACCTGCAATAGGCAGATTTAGCTCTTGCATAATGTATGTTTAATAATCAAATATTTTTAGGGTCTGATTGAGTTCAATTTTAACATTGTAGTCCCATCTGTCATTCTATATTTCTAGATCTGTTCAGCACGAGTCATCAGCATCCAAATTGTTAACACTTTTAATTTTAAAATTTAGAAAAAAGAACAAAACGTTCCAAAGAAAATATTGTATCAAAATGTTTTAAAAATTTTCAGAATGAAAGATTGCCATTTTATCAGTTTTGAGCAGATTTATCTGAAAATCAGAATCATACTTTTAAAACATATTTTTCAACATCAATAATTACAGCAATAATTATATCCTGTTCTGTGCAATTGAAATCTAATTTGAAATAGTTGGATAGAAACCAAAATGGAAGGCAGTGATTGGGTACACAACACTTTTACTTGCCAATTTACTTTACGAAATTATACTGGTAATAATAAACATCGTTTGTAATCTACACCTAGGGTCTTGTCAGAGGAATTTTTTCAGGGGGTACAAAGATTCTTTTGGAGAGAGAGAGAGAGAGAGAGAGAGAGAGAAAGAGAGAGAGAAAAAGAGAGAGAGATGGGGTTTAACATCCACTTGACGTCATATTGGGACTAACATGGTTCAATTTTATTTCAATAATTCGCTTGCGCTTAGGGGTCTTTAGCAGTGGGAGGAAACCAGAGGATCTGGAGAAAACCCACGGGGTTGGGCAGGCGACCCTACTCCTTGTCACGTACAACCAGGGATTCGAAACCACGCCAGTTGATCAATGACAGACCTTATGATACAGCACGCACGTGCTAACCATCCGGCCATCCAACACCTCAGATTCTTTTGGACCCCAATACTCTGAGGATTAAAGGAGGCAAGTCTTTAACTCAATATCATCTACAGTCTTCAACATGGCGAACACGACTTATTAGTCAATTTAAATCATATATCAACTTGAACCTCTAGAGCATCCACAACATTTTTCAAAGTGATCAAGGGCCATAACTCTGACAGTAAGTATTGGAAAGAGTTGAAAAGCAATAGGCTTCTTCATCTCATGACTTTAAACAATGTGTATAAATTTAAAGTCAATCGAATATTAATTTTAGCCCCTAGGAGTATCCATGGACAGGGGTGATGACAATATACGACCACATTTCAATGTGGTGTACCCCTTGATAAAATTCCTCTCATAGACTTATACACAATTTTCTTTCTGAAGTTAATACTCTCTACAATTATTCCCCTTTGCAAAATTCCCCTATATGTGTTCAATATAGGTGAAAGGTAAATTAGACTCAAGTTGAGTCCATATGGCCGGCTTATTGGCCGCCCGCAATGAGTCTATTTGTGGGTTAGGGTTAGGATAATAAGGGTTATGAGAGAGGTCATATAGGATATGCCTGTTTTTCAATCCCTTTCAATTTCTGAATAAAATATTGTTTAAAAAAAAAACATAGTATATTATATACGGAGGCCATATTGAACTCAACTTGGGTCCAATTTACCGCTGATCGTCGTTAGATATAACCTGGTTGTTGTTTACTCTGTTTGTTTTAAACAAGTCAGTCACAAGTATCGTAATCAAAATCTTAATAAAAGCTCACAGGAAAGGCTTCATAAATCGTAATTTCAGTCCTTCTGCTCATAGAAATATAGACTAGAATATGAGCCGAAGGACTAACATTACAGCTTTTTTATTGGCGGAAAATTACGACTACTCGCGGAGAACAGCGGCAATCGCTAACATTAAAATATCCCTTTGGCAGGTAACATTGACATTTGGGATTGTTTTATACTTATGGAAGGGATACGATTTATAAAGCTTTTTCCAGCGAGCTTTAAATTAAATACTGATACATTTCATGTTTTAAATTAAAATATTACAACTCAATTTACCTCTAGATTTTTCACGTAAGTACATAATTAGTCGGGCAATCAGAGCCATGTATTCTTCCTGAAAAATAAAACATGAAAATATGTTATTCAGATAAAGGCGGGGTACAACTAGACAATGAAAAGGGAATATGTTGAAAATTTCAGTCAAATGACTTCAATCTGAGGGGACTTATCGTCGTTTGCAGAACAGTGTAGTCTCAATTGTCACTGCTACCGTTGTTACTAAATAAACAAAGTCTCAATTATCCATTTTTAAAATAAATCATGAAATGAAAATCGTATTTAAATCTGTTGAAAATCAATAACATCCTAAGTTTTAGAGAGTTGATTATGGGAAAAGTATTTAGTTATTCAAATAGGACAAAAAAAAAACCATGGTCATGTGCATTCCATACTGGGCAAAAGAGGGGCAGTTAAGTTTTTAGGGAGGGGGGGCACACCCGACACAGTCTACAGTAGGTATTTTAGAGCTACATGTATGGTCTGAAAAAAATTTTGGGGGGGGGGATGGTGGGGGGGCAAAACATTTTTTCAGAGGGGCATTGCCCCCCCCCCCTCCCCCCACTGGTTACGGGCCTGGAGCAAAATGTCCTCGTAGTACACTGCATGATGTATACCTATCATTTTTAAACTGGTTATTTCAGCAGAGAGTTCACCCCTGATTTTATCTTTATTCATTTACATATATTACAATATCATCTATTTACTTACATCAGTGTATTCATTATTATATTATCTACCTGGTATGTAAGTTTTGAAAATGAAGTATGATAAATCAGGATGTCATATTTCTGTATTCACTATTCCGATATTATCTATCTAAGTTGTAGAAATGACTTATGTATATCCATGTCCATGTATTCATTATTATGATATTATCTAAGATGTATAAATGACGTATATCCATGTCATATTTCTGTATTCTAATCCGATATTATCTATGTATATATGTTTTATAAATGAAGTATGATATATCAGTATGTCATATTTCTGTATTCACTATTCTGATATTATCTTTATGTATGCTTTTAATGCTAGGTTCTCACTATCACGATTCAAGCTACAATTATTGAAATCGTGGTTTTAGTCGTGGAGTAATCATGGTGTTCCTATCAGGTCTTATGATATATTGAGGACAGTCGTTACAATCGTGTTGATTGTATCAAAACGTATCTGCACGTACCAGATCATGGACGCAATAATAGGGACAATCCTATTGTAACATATCGCACAACAGTGGAAACCTACGTGTATCAGACAATCCGATTGTAACATATCGCACAACAGTGGAAACCTACGTGTATCAGACAATCCTATTGTAACATATCGCACAACAGTGGAAACCTACGTGTATCAGACAATCCTATTGTAACATATCGCACAACAGTGGAAACCTACGTGTATCAGACAATCCTATTGTAACATATCGCACAACAGTGGAAACCTACGTGTATCAGACAATCCTATTGTAACATATCGCACAACAGTGGAAACCTACGTGTATCAGACAATCCTATTGTAACGCATCGCACGACAGTGGAAACCTACGTGTATCAGACAATCCTATTGTAACATATCGCACAACAGTGGGAACCTACGTGTATCAGACAATCCTATTGTAACATATCGCACGACAGTGGAAACCTACGTGTATCAGACAATCCTATTGTAACATATCGCACAACAGTGGAAACCTACGTGTATCAGACAATCCTATTGTAACATATCGCACAACAGTGGAAACCTACGTGTATCAGACAATCCTATTGTAACATATCGCACAACAGTGGAAACCTACGTGTATCAGACAATCCTATTGTAACATATCGCACAACAGTGGAAACCTACGTGTATCAGACAATCCTATTGTAACATATCGCACAACAGTGGAAACCTACGTGTATCAGACAATCCTATTGTAACATATCGCACGACAGTGGAAACCTACGTGTATCAGACAATCCTATTGTAACATATCGCACAACAGTGGGAACCTACGTGTATCAGACAATCCTATTGTAACATATCGCACAACAGTGGAAACCTACGTGTATCAGACAATCCTATTGTAACATATCGCACAACAGTGGGAACCTACATACATGTAGCATAAGTACAATTCTCCCGTCAAAAGGCAAAACCTAGTAACTCACTTTTTTATCAAAATTGAGTTAGGACCAAATTTGTAGTTAACAGGGCATGTGCTTCCTGTTGTTGTACTAGATATTCCAATCTTTTGATTTTGTAAGCAGTAACACGCATGACACAACCTAGCAACTTCCTTCATTTGCCTATAATACCACAGCAAAACCTAGTAACTCAATAGTCAAATCAATGGATGAGCTGGGGTTTAATATTCATTCATTACGTTTTCCTTTGTTTTCTCAAAATAAGAAAAAAGTGAGTTACTAGGTTTTGCCTTTTGACGGGAGAATATGTATGTCACACTTCTTATATTCTAATCCGATATTATCTACATACATGTATATATAAGTTTTATAAATGACTTATGATATATCTGTATTCTAATCCAATATATCTATGTATATAAGTTTTATAAATGACCTATAATATTTCTGTATGTCATATTTAAAATATTTCCATATATTATTTTCCCATCATTGACTAGACGAAGATATGATTCATGTTTTTAGGTGGGTATAATGGTTTGATTACTGAACCGTGTTATTCTTTGTACTTGATGAGAAATCGTGTTTAATATCTAGTCATGAAAATATTATCACTGGCCGTTAAAGTAATATTCTCATATAGAAAGATGGACTAAAAAGGTCACAACCTTTTCTAGAACCTGTTCATTAAATTGACTGGTAGCATTATGTTTAACAGATGGAGGTGGTCTCTGTATTAAATTATCATTTTATTTATATGGCTGACATCTTTATTAAATACTGTGTCTCCAACTGACCAATATAAAAGATTGACACAGAAATGATAGGCATGTTATTCACGGTACATCAACTTCTTTGATGTGTCACTGGTAGTCCATTATGGACAATGGCCCATCATGTTACTGTATATCAAGGAAAACTTAGAAATGAATGAAATCAAGTGGGGTTTAAGGTTCTACTTTTCAGGGCCCTTATTCACGAAAACTTAAACTAAGTTACAACCAAAATTTTAAGAAATACTGTAACTTCATTGGATATATGCAAATTGATTTTACTGGTCAGCCAATCGAATTGCAGTATTTCTTAAAATTTCGATTGTATCTTAGTTTAAGTTTTCGTGAATAAGGGCCCTGCACTAGAGAGAGAGAAATGAGGTTTAAAGTCCCAACTTAACATGGCACAATATTATTTCAATAACTGGCTTGCACACAGGGTTTTAAGTAGTGGAAGAAAAACGGAGGACTACTGTAATACAATATCATTTGGGATCTAAATTTCAATATTGTATTCTTAATTCATATTTTATTTGTAACTCAATTTTAGACATATATGAAGTGACAGATTAATTGTAAGATTTAATCTACATGTATATCAGGTGTAGGTTGTTGAAATAATATTATGTAAGATTTAATGGATTGTACAAACATGTATACTCGGAGTGTCTATATGATATAAGATTCAGGCTTAACACGTATTGACACCTTTTGTCTTGAGCTAAGATGTGTGAATCTTAATAATTACTTTTCATTGTTCTGATTACGAATGGTATTAACTATGGCGTGCCTTAACCGATATAAAAAGCCTAGTTTACAAGCAGGCAGAAGTACAGAAGAGGCGCAGAGAGAGACCTAGAGAGAATTCAGCCCGGACCTCGGGAGAGGGCCTGCCCTCGACCCCGGAGAGAGGGGTCCTGTGAGGCAGAGGAGAAGCAGCTATAGCTAGACGTAACTTTACCCAACCAAATGATGTTGTTATGTACCTGTAAATATGTTATCCAGTATTAAAATATCTTTTAATAAATAAGAGTTATGTATTCTATCACACTACTCATTTATTCATGACAGGATAATCAGTTGGGAGGAATGGACGATAGTTTCACATCGTAGTCTAGAGCACTAGGCCACCACCCACTTATGTACTTAAAAATCAAGATGATAGGGGTGGATAAGACTTGTTATTAACCTGTTTTATCATCATCTATAATTAAAATCCAAGACTGTGAGTGTGACAAATTAACTCCTTACTGCCAATGGGGGAGACATGTATTCAAACTATCATAAGCTATTTTTATCAACCAATCAAAAAGAATCGTTAAATACAAAGGATGCATTAGCAAAGGGAAGTAACTCTCATCCTGTTGCAAACAAGTCGCCACATTGTTGTGAAAATAAACAAGGCTAAGATTAGTTTTTAAGCTGTTTTTTTGATTGGTTCATAGATCAAGCTACGATCAAGGGAAGATAATTTGAATATAATGGAGTAGAACGGAATGAGACCACTGGGGATACTGAGGGAGAAGATGAATTGGTATGAGGTTTATCTTAACCTGTAACAATGTCATGTGACTATTTATAACAGGTATGAGACAGCTGTTTAAGTCATCATTATTCTGGAATATACCAGTACATGGTAAAGACTACATTTCATCTTCAAAACACCAGCTTTAATAATTGTAACAGTCTTTGCCAAGGATAAACATTCTTCTAAGAAAAATATTGTCATACCAAAAATAGATTACATGTCGATTCCAGATTGAGGAAAACCAGAAAACTGTGTTTAAATCCTTACTGCGTATGATTCCAACCACACTGGTGATATAAAGCCTAGCGTAAACCGAGCTTGTGACTTGATGGAACTTTCCCCAACCAGTCGTTGCTGGAAACATGTTCTGTTTACATGGTCTTATGACTGAATGAAGCTGATTTTTTCACTAGTTGCATTTGGTTTTATCTTCCCTCTGTGTTAGGTTACATTCATGTACATGTATGTATGTACCGTTCCAATTCAGCCATATTTACTGGTCTTGACCACTTGGGTTAAAAATTGACCCTTTCTCTATCTCTTACTATAAATTATATCAATGGGGTTGGACCCTCCTTTCATCACCACTAAGTTATATTGATGGGGTTTGATGCACCTTTCATCCACACGAAGCTATATTAATGCGGTTTGACCCCCCCACACACTAAGCTATATTGGTGGGATATGACCCTCCTTTCATCCCCACTAAGTTATATTAAGGGTGTTTGACCCCCCCCTCCATCCCCACTAAGTTATATTAATGGGGTTTGACACTCCTTTCATCCCCACTAAGTTATATTGATGGGGTTTGACCCTCCTTTCATCCCCACTAAGCTATATTGATGGGGTTTGTATCAATGGAGTTAACCCCCTCCCCTTCCACCATCTATTTTAATTCTTGGCTAGATCACTATTGCTCCCCCATCAAAGATAAAGTCGGGTAATAGACTGAGTGATATTTGTCAAGGTTAAAACTTTAATCTGACATGTAGTTAGTTAGTTTAAAGACAACGGCTGCCAAGTCTGAGTACACAATAACAACATGGTATATCATGTATCCCACAGTTTATATATACATGTATATAAGTCTACAAGATCTACTATCTTTATCTTATCTATTTTTATTGTTTACTTTTACATGTTGGGATGCACGTTTATCTAAGGTTAGATACATGTATCAGGTATCCATACTACATTGGTATGACAGTGTTAATACAATTTACTATAGGTGAGAGAGAGAGAGAGAGAGAAAGAGAGAGAGAGAGAGGGGGGGGTAACATTCACTTGACACAAACTAGGTCATTAATTTCAATAATTCGCTTGTGTGTAGGGGTCTTTAGCAGTGGGAGGTAACCAAAGGACCTGTAGAAAGGCGACCCTACTCCTTGTCACGTGCAAGCGGGGAATCAAATACACGTCACTTGACTTAATGACAGACCTTATGGTGCAACGTGCTTGCGTTAACCATTCGGCCACCCAACTCCCCAATTTATTATTGGTAGAAGGATTGTTACATCTGTATGACAGTGTTAGTACAATTTACTATACATGTAGGTAGACAGATTGATACCTTGGTTTACAAAAATCAAATCAAATTTAAAGTCCTACTTTTCTGCACCGACTGAAATAATGAAGACATGTGTATGCTATTACAGAAATTTTGCCCAGACAGTGCCACTGTGGCTTACTCTTATATTGAATTCCAACTGTCAAGGGTTCTCTTAGGTGCATGCCAGTGTGTACACTGGACCTTGGTTTTTCATTCCATCCGAACGACTAGACACTGTCCTTGTCAGGTCCTCACTCCTGTACCACTAACAAGGGGAAACCACGGCCAACACCTCCGGTATAGTAAGCTAGTGTTTTACTCATTCAGCCACAGTGGCTTCCCTATCTGATGCCTTACGTCTACTTACCCTCGTTCCTGATTTTTTAAAGATGAAGTCTTCCATTTCAGAACATGGTTTTGTATTTTCTTCTAAATCTGCTCCTTCTCTCGCTGTTTCTCTAAAAATAGAAAATATTATAATTCATTAATTTATTATCTTAAAAATATCATAATTCATTAATTTATTATCTTAAAAATATCATAATTCATTATCTTAAAAATATCATAATTCATTAATTTATTATCTTAAATATATCAAAATTCATTAAACATACATTATGCAAGAGCTAAATCTGTATATTGTAAGTCTTTCTTTAGACCTGAAATGTTATCTAAATTATTAATTAGACATTAATTAACCTATCCAGACCATAATCAACCCTAGATGGCATCGCTAGCCTGCAATCTTTAGTGGATTGTGAGCCGATTTACTGCATAACTTTCCTTCACGATTTAACGATTGAATGGATAATCGAGACTATGCTGTTTATCGTACTGACTTTAGTAATGATGATTGAGGCTAGGCGGAAATTTCATTCGCTTAGTTCTCGGTTCATAGTGGATCAATTTGAATGAAATTTTCAGCAAACTGCTTTTACATTATCTATAGTTTTTAACTATTATAGTGAGAACTGCCAACTCGTTATCGAATCTCCCATAATGTATCTTTAATTTATTATCTTAAAAATATTATAATTCATTAATTTATTATCTTAAAAATATTAAAATTAATTTATTAACTTAAAAATATTAAAATTCATTAATTTATTATTTTAAAATTATTATAATTCATTAATTTATTATCTTAAAAATGCTTTTAAAACATGAATTAAGAGTTTTAACATACGCTGGTATTCCCTGTTAATACGTATACAGCGAACAGTGGAGAATTTTCGCTGAGCAAATTTCATGCTTAATAAAATGGCATTTTACCCATGGTCACGAAAATGAAATGAAATGAAATGGGGTTTGACATCCTACTGTTCTGTTCCGAACTGGGCTAATGAAGACGGGCATTTATATGCAATACAGTGTGCTATGAGGGAAATTTTGCCTGGACAGCGGCACTACGGCCTACTCTTACATGTATATCAAATTCCAACTGTCAAGGGATCTTTTACGTGCACGCCAATGTGCACACAGGATCTCAGTTATTTGTACCATCCAAATGACTAGACAACAGCTGTCTTTGTCAGGCCCTCTGTCCTGCATGACTGACAAGGGGAAACCACGCCAGAAAAGCCCTATGAACTCGTGGTCATTAGGTTTTGTGTTTGTTTGCATGTGGAGTAAAGTGAGGTACATGTAGGATGTTTGATGGACATGGAAAAACAATGTTTGAAAATGGAATACATAAAAGCTTTGATTATGAAAAATCCTATTGCTATATATTTTATTTCCCACAATCTTGTACGACACGCAACTGGCCTATAGATTACATGGTGGATTAAAAGATTATCCAATATAACACCTGTATAATATCTATTATATCTATTCAATAGTAACTTAATGTGGAATAAACTTTATTTGAATATCGTTTTGTATAATATTCATAACTTTATTATATTCTCTGTGCTTTATTATGGGTTTATATATTCTGGTATTACATGTTAAAACTGTTTTCTGTATTCAAACCTACTGGTATATAAAAAATATTAACAACTATTTCCACAACAAAAGATAATTCAGGTCAAATAAAAACTTTCCATTTGTAGATCATAAGACAGAACTTATTGTTAGACTAAGTAAATGTTAAACATTTTGAACAATTAAATGGTCGTATTTAGAAATCGTAGATCAAATATAAAAAGATTCTATTTGTAGATCTATATAACTATTTTACAGTATAGGTAGTTTGTGAATTATTAATATTCTTATATTCTAGAACACGACACAGATAATTGGTTTTAACAAAAGAACTTTCCCCCATGAATAAGTGTACTAGATTTGGTGAAGCATTAAATGTGTATTATAACAGTAAACTGTGTAAATAGGTCTATAATAATACGCCACATAAACCAGTTCTTAAAGTCTCTCTGAATTTCATCTGGTTTTTAAATGTTTGTTTTATATTTTAACTGTGAAATGGGTTAAACTGGTAAACTGTATAAATACCACTTGGAATAAATTATGTCTCTATGTATATGTATTTAAATTATACTGTAATATATTAATTCGCTATCCTGTTTAAAATTGAAACGGAAAGGGCTACTCTAAGTTTTTGAAACTTGTGCTTGATCCTTTTAAGGGGGGTTGGATGGTCGAATGGTTAGTAGGTGCGCGCTGTATCATAAGGTCTGTCATTGAGTTAACTGGCGTGGTTTCAATTCCCCGGTTGAATGTTACAAGGAGTTACGTTGCCTGTTCAACCTTGTGGGTTTTCTCTGGGTCCTCCCTCTGCTAAAGTATGAACAAGCGAATTATTGAAATAAAATTGAACCATATGGTAGTCCCGAAATGACCCATTTGGTATCAAGTGGACATTAAACCCCATTTGCCTGGACAACAAGGTACTTCTGCCAACTGTTTACCAAATTCCGCCAACTTTTTTTTAATTGAATTTCGACTGTTAAGGTTCTTTTACGTGAATATCAACATGTACCCATAATGTAATTAAGGTATACATTGTATGTAAAAGAACAAACTTGACAATGAATATAGGATCTGACCCCCCTCGTGCCCCTCCACAGTTGACAATGACTCATGTACCCATAATGTAAATAGGATGTACAATGTATATATAATAACAAGCCTGACCCCCTTGTGCCTCTGCACAATGTATATAGGACCTGACCCCCTCGTGCCCCTCCACAGTTGACAATGACTCATGTTTTAAACTGTGCACATGATTCTACTATTTATTCTGATATATCCTTAACCGACCTTGACCCCAATAAATTTCAACAACCCCTGTCCTAAAATATACAACTCTCTAAACAACAAAACAATTTTATTACTTTTTCCATTAACAGTTTCAATAGTGAACATTCAACTTTTTCCATAAACGGTTTCAATAGCGAACATTTAACTTTACAATAACTTTATCAACAAAAGAATATTAACAATCAGTGCAGGGATACGCAAAATATCTAAAAGTTGAATATTAATTGCACAGACGGTAAATGCTGTTTGATAATGTCAATGGCAGATCTAGTGGAGAGAGAGAGAGAGAGAGAGAGATGGGGTTTAACATCCACTCGACACAAACTAGGTCATTTCGGGACTAACATATGGTACAATTTGTTTCAATAATTCGCTTGCGCGTAGAGGTCTTTAGCAGTGGCAGGAAACCGGAGGACCCGGAGAAAACCCACGAGGTTGGGCAGGCGACCCTACTCCTTGTCATGTACAACCTGGAAATCAAAACCACGTCAGTTTACTCAATGACAGACCTTATAATACAACATGCACGTGCTAACCATTCGGACATCCACCCAACCTTTACTTCATGTACATGTACACACTACCCAGCTCTCTTCTATCCATACTACCCAATACTACACTTCAATCTGTTCCACCCTTACTACCACTCGGCAAACCTAGGCAGATTCTGTTAATCTACATCTAGCCCCGGCTGTATGATGGTAAGTGATACGTACCTACGCCTATACAATTGCGATGCGGCACAGGTTTACTTATTAGGAACACTTGCCGCTTTTAAAAAGAAGTTATCATAATTGCATCGTTCGAAGCGTGTGTAGAATTTTCAGTTCAAAGTTGTCCTTGTTTGAAGAAAATCGGATAAACTTGAAAGAAAAATAGCTTCAGACTTTGAAATATTCGTATGATAAAACATTCTTCAAAGGCGTTGTCATGAGCAATGCCGTTGGTAATCCGGGAACTTGAAAGTAGTTCCAATGGTGGACTTTGTTATACAGCAGAGGCTAGATGTAGGGTACAGGAATCTGGTTAGTTTTGCCGAGTGCACTTACTAAATGTACACACTATCCAGTTTGAGTTTGTGAGATGATTTGAATCAATCATTTTTTGCACTGAAAATCAAAAGTGCAGACTGGTGAATAAATTTAAAATCCCCCAAATATTTGTTAATACAATGTACCAATACAAACATTCATATAATACAAATACCAATACGTAAACTATAAATCACACTAGTAATTGTCCTAAAATACAAGATTCTTTGTTGTATCTTGACAGGTTGATCGATGAGCCATTACAAACTGAATTTGGGTCAATTTTAAAACTTTAGTCATTCTTTTCTTTCCGTTAATATTTGAATCTACCACCTATAACCTACTTGTACTCCTCATCAATGTCATTCTATCAAGAAAATTATATTTTGATATCTGATTATAGACATACAGACAGTGAGGGTGAAAGAAAGATAGAAGAGATGTTATTTAACGATCCCACTTAACACAAACTATAGGTGATTTCGGGACTAACATATGGTTCCATTTTATTTCAATAATTCACTTGCATGTAGGGGTCTTTAGTACTAGTAGTCGGAGGAAACCCACAAGGTTGGACAGGCAGCCCACTCATTTTTGGATCAAAACCACATGGCATTACTCAAAGACACACCTTATGATCTAAATCGCATGTGTTAGACCAATCGTTAACCCCACAGGGCTGGCCACGAATAAATTGATGGCGAGCAGATGACTGCTCCCGCAAATTTAGGTTTGGGCGAGCAAGGCAAGCAATAAAAATTGCTCATGCAAAATGTTGTTTGCGTGAGCACACATTTTGTAACACTGTTTCAATTTAAAATCATAAGAAAATTGCTATTCCTGGCACAAAGTTTGCAGTAAACATGTGTGACCATCGCTTTCTGTTTTTGACAGTCATACGTACTCTTCTTTATTAAAACCAATTTCCGTATGGATTTCTTCACCCCACGAAATCAGGTTGCCTTTGGCCATTATTACGCTTAGATTGAAAATTATACGACTGCACAATGGAATAAAAACCGAAGTTTGAAACGTGTTCATTTAGCGTGAATGCCAAATGCCGGGTGTTAACATTCTTTACTTTAGACTCGATTATCACGTGTTTGTTACTGGTGTTCGTAGGAAAACCAGTCATGACGTTCAGGTCTAAAGTGTATTTTTAGTAACACAAGTTGCGAGTAACTTTATTAGCCAATCAAATTTCA